TAACTTTTGACATTTTTACAGAAACCTTGTTTTCATATTTTTGCAAATTGCTCATTATTTTCGGTCTGAAATCTGAATGTAACTAGCATCATTCGATGCGCCTTTATTGATTCTTTATAAACGCGTTAGAAAGTAAAGTATAACAACGACAGTTTTCATGGTCAAATTTAAGAAAAACATTTAAAGAATGTAAGATCAAGTCATATTTGAACACGAAAATGCCCATTGCACAATTTCAAGTTAAAGTGCAGCAGTTACGGCCGCCACGGCAGAAGACTGAGGCCGAATTTAATGGTTGTGACGTCGGATACGGCGTCTTCTCATTATTCCGTACCTCCGTTTTTTACCCTTTTTGCAAAACTCGTTTAGTATGAAACCATATTGGTTTTGGAACCCTTTTGATTGAAGATAACACTCTAGCTTTTGATGACACGGCCTTGCACTGTTACAAGTACTTGGTACTGCTTCTTTAAAGTGGAATATAGTAGGTGCCATTCAATAACTAGCACTGGAAGACGTAGAATCAACATTAATTAAATTTGTTTATTAGGTTTCGATTTTTTTTGCCTGTTTGACTTGAGTGCTATTGCCGTTACTTCTCTGCTATCTCTGCTGCCTGCTTCTTTGGTGTATCATGTCTAGTGGTTGCTTTTTTGGTCATTGTCTGGTCCCTGCTGGTGGCGTTCGTTCGTCGGTTCTTCTAACGCGCTGGCGTTGTTGCTGCTGCTGCTGCTGTTAATCTGGTCTTTCCTGGTCTACTGTCTTTGGTGTATGCTCGTTCTCTGGTTCATACCCAATGATTGCGTAATGTATGGTCTATCTATGATGGTGATAAGTGGTAAGTAACTTCTTTGGTCCTTGTCTGCTCTCTGCTGATGGTGTTTGTTCTTTAGTTTTTCTATTGTGCTGGTGTTGCTACTGCTGCTGCCGCTAATCTGGTTTTTCCTGGTCTACTGTATTTGGAGCATGCTCGTTTTGTGGTCTGTCTCCGGTGATTACCTATACTCTTCTGGTGTATTTATGGCTGTGGTAAGTGGTAAGTATCTTTTTTTTCTTGTGGTTGTAATGATATAAACTTCTTTGAACGTTTGTACTACTGCTTCCTTTCCCGCGATAATGCATTCATGCTGTTTGCTTTATTGCCTTTTCTTTTTTTTTTTTGCTGGCTGTGATATGATCAGCTCAACAAATACTTGCAATGTTGTTGCTTCGTATTTACGAACAACAAGCATGACACACTGCTATATAATTGTATCACCCTTCTTGTGATACTATGTTATATAACCGTGGATTGTTGTTTGTGTTGCCTCTGTCGCTTCACATGAAAACAACATTGGTCTTCATGTTGTATTACAACACTTATACTGCTGCTACTGTTGATCCTGCAATTGTGCGCATTTGTGTTCTTTTACATCACCAGACTGTTATCATGCACATTGCTCATGTATGTATTTTTGTTGCAATAACAAGAATATAATAACGTGAACATTTTTAATATTTTATTCATAACATACTTTCCTTTGGCTCATCTCGTGTGAGCATTCTTTTTTTCTTTTGCCTACATATACTACTATACTCCTATAGTAATTATTATGTTCGCTTCTTTTGTTATTATTCTGTTTCTTTTGAAGCATACTTCTTTACGTTGTGTGGATGTGCCTATCCCTGAAGCTCAACAAGACTCTATCCGAGGCTAGGAGGTAGATAGGCTGCCTCCACTTGGTTATCGCTACTTACTTTAGTGATGATTGAGGGTCTCAATGCCTGAATTTAAAGCTAGGTGGTGTAAGTAAGGCATGCTCTAGCACCTGGGGGAAGTTTGATGATAGCAGCGGCTATATTGCTATTATAGCGGCGCTTAAAATTTTGCCTCACATCAAAACAGGGGGAAACCCTCGCAATTTTTTTTTAGGTCAGCGGAGTTTTCAAGCAATCTGATTGGCTAAGAGGTTGGAACAACGAAGGGTTACAACTAGTTAGTCTCCCATTGATCTGTCATTTAACATTATAGTGTGTTTGTAATAAAAGTGCGTCTAAACTGTTACAATTTAAATTTTTCTTTATTCAAAATAACATAAGGTGCAATAATTATTAAATCTGGCGTCCATTACACAGCTTTATGTGAGAGATGTTTATTGTGTGGAATACATCCACTATGATCTGCATTCCGACAGTTCATCCAGTTACCAGATTTAGATATAAACTGTATGTACGCTGGATTAGATGTACGATATCGATTTATACTACAAGAAGATATGGACTTCAGATACGCTAGTACTATAAGATTCATACTATATAAGATATAGGCTATAGATGGCACCACGGACATGGATGGCACTATAGACTTATACTTGTATTCCGACATTGACTACGGATGTTTACCATATCTGGATATGTCGCGATAAGCACCAAGATTAATGCAATATGAGCTTGTTGCTTCAGATGTGCATTTCATGATCCACGCTATAAGACACATGCTTGTATCCGTGATACTAGCTACAGATACTTTATGTACTACAGACTTGTACTATATATGAGACACGCTATAGACATGCATACGATATGCTATAGACATGCCATATATCCAGATACATGCTAAAGATGTATGCTCAGCGATATACACTCAGATATGTACTATCGATATAGACTAAGAAGACTGTACCTATCGGATACATGCTACTAGATCGATATTAATTATCCTTATAGAAAGGATAGATCAGGGTACTTTGGATGAGAGTCTAATTATTCATCCAAGCAAAGCTAATAAATCATGATTAGCTTGCTGGAGTTGTCTTTTAGCATGATTAGACATTAGTTGATCTGAGTTGACTTATTTGTTAATCTAATTAATAGAACTTTTATCCATTGTTATAGTATATAAGAAGGATCATCTACCTGGCCAGTAGAGAGACTGAAGTTTACTTTACACCTGTCAGTTTGATAATAAAACATACCTTTATCAAGTTAACATTACTGTTTTTTTATTCTTTTTTTCCGTGAATTTTAGTCTGTAAAGCCTCAAATTCCACAATTGCTTTATTTCTTTTGTGAAATCTATTTAAACCTGATTTCACTGCAGAAAAATCCATGATTTTGCATGATACCCTTTTTTGATCATATCTCAACAAATACTCACTGGATTCGCACAAAACAAAGACCATTCAATAGCTCTATGTTATATCCATTATAATATAAAAATTTCAAGTATTATGTGTACGTTCCCTTTATAAATTTGCTCAAAATCATATATTTTATGAGCTACAAGCAGGGGATATTCAACTTTTGTTTTATTTATCTATAATAACCATGCCATTATATAGAGAATTGTAAAAGAAACAGAAGCTATTAAGCTTTAAGCTCATATTCACTTAGTAAAATCAACCAGTATGACCCTTTGAAAATCGGTTATCTGGAACATTTAGAGTCATAACTCATCGACATCGTTCTTAAAACCCCCAAGTCAAACATTCCCTACTAGTCAAAAAATTGCCCCCTACAACTTTCACTACATATACATCCCACATTCACATAGTAATCTAAAAAGTTTCATTAATAGCAAAGCTAACTATTTTCTGAAATTGTACTTTTCTCAACAACCATGCTTCCTATTTAATATCCAATTGCACTGTCGTCGTTTTTTCCGCAAAGAACTGCTATAAGAACATGCGACTTTTAAAGCTCGAATCAAAGCATGATCCAAGATGGATAAAAGATATAGTAAAAATAAGAACCAAATAACGAAAGACCCGGATGCGATGAGCTCTTTTTATAATTTTTTATCGCAAAAATTATTTGGGGCCATCTTAGTTGTATGGCACAGGACAAAAAAGCCATGCTGGAAAATAGCAAACTTCCAAACACAAACCTTTGATTTACTGCCTTGACATTAGGTCTGCTGAAGTTTGCGTCATTGAATTCATATTCAATGTTTACTTGTTATCGCGAAATAGGTTGTGAATCGAATCTCGGTAATAGGCTGATATTTGAAATGCCATGAGGAAGTAAATGTAAGGCTGCTTGCGCAATACGACGAATTAGATTCAAGTCAAGTGAAGCTTACTGAATACAGAGTTGATTATAAGGGTTAGAAAGGTTACGAAATGTCAGGGCATTAGAGATTCTTCCTCTTCCTCTTCCTTTTTTTTTTAAAAAAAACATTGCTGTATAGATATCAAGGACGAAAAGCAAATGCAGGTGATTTAAAACCGAAGTGGTCATGAAAAGTGCATGTCAGTCTTTTGAAAGTAAGGGTATGGCTGTGGTATCCTCACTTTATCCATAACTGCGATATCGTGCTTTCACCAAGCTTTGTATGTTTGCGAAGAATTGGGCGTTTGAACGCTCTATGAAGTATCGAATTGTGTTGTTGGTATTCGATGATTACTGTATGCAAGACTCAAACGTCCTTCAACGCATGTGTAAATTGACTACATAATAGGTGCACATTCACTTTGCTCTGAAAGATGCGTAGAAGTGATTGAATAGTTCGTTGCTAGCTATCAGTGAATGCAATTTTTCTCAAGATCAAAACTTAAGGGTATCCTTTCTCAGAGCAAAATTCAAGGCATCGGGCAGCGTTGAATCAGCACATCAAAGCTGGCATTTGAAGATGGCAACGTATTATTGTAACTTCAACACCAAGCCTTCATTTTGTCTAGCAATCTCCTGAACAACATACATGACCGTGGATACCCATCTTTTGGAACTGCTCATGTGTGAGCATCAGCATAGTTCTCAATTTCATGCCGTCTGATCCGAGATATTAAGCTTGAGCTCAACATCCACGCATAAGGCTCCGTCAACTTATCTCAATCCCATCTCTTTCATCGCATTTTTAACTTCCCATTCATATGCTTCCCAATGCGCTCAATCACTCTGTCCACACTGGCTATCCTAGTTTGTATATATATATATATATTTACATCAAGCGAGTAATGTTGGGGATGATTTATTTCTTTCAAGAAAAAAAATTGGTGTTTGTGTTTGGTGAATCAAGAAACTTATTTTTGAGCCTTAAGGACCTTCTTGACAATCTTTTGTTCTTCAATCAAGAAAGCACGGACAATACGGTTTCTAACACAGTGAGCACAACGAGAGCCACCATAGGCACGGCTAACGTTCTTTTGAGTCTTGGAGACAGTGGCGAACTCACGGGGACGGAGAGCCTTGACCTGTGGATAAATTGCATTAATATCACAGATCTTCTACAAATCGATGCGTATCTCTATACTCACACCAGCGAGAGCTTCACCACAATCACCACAACGAGGAGCCTTGACAGGCTTCTTCTCGTATTGGACAACGAGCTTTCCACCTTTTTTAATGAAAAATACAAGATTAGTTTCTCATTGTCAAACGCATGCTACTGAATCGTTGGATTTACCGGGGGTCTTAACGGCGCGAACACGGTTGGAACGGGTGTTGTAAGAACAACGACGTCTGTATGTAAGTCTCTGAGCCATTGCTGTTAATTATCTGTTGTTGCAATCGATCAATTGATGTGTATGACGTAGGTGGATGTGAAGGTTAAATCAAAGCAATGTAGTAATGGCAATGTTGATGATGGATGATGGTATAGATAGAGCATGAATTCATTGATCAGTATGATGGATTCAACGGACGGATGGATGAATAATTACCTCCCAAATGCAGCAATAGAATGAAAGGGAAGATTCATCAGGCTTCACTTTCCCTTGATTCTCTTGTATGGCCCCGCTTTTTTTTTTCTCAACACTGGTTTTTCCAATTCACACATATCTTTGGTACAGAGTCCGGGTCGGAAGATGGCATTGCAACGATTTTAATGCTTCTCCATGAATCAACATCTCACCATAAATTCACCTTACATATTAGAGCGTGATGCCCTTGTCACCTTACGATGTCGCTCAAAGAGATCACTATACACCTCTTGTAAAATTACTCGGATGTCTCGGGCTCCTCCTTCTCATACATCATGTACCATAGGCAAATTATGATCCACATTCTCTCAGATGCACATGTCTAACCCTGTATCGCATTTATTATTTTTGCATGGTGGGTAAAGTCTTGGGAACCTCTGGAAATTGGAGCGTTTTCAACTTTTCCGAGGCCTCTTTCTTTTGGATCTTCTTCATGTACTCCCGTTGTCTCAGGTAAAAATAATCACGTTGAATTACAAAGCGCACTGGTTGCTGAGGCGAGGCAGGTACAGATGCTGGTGCTGGTGATGGTGGCAGACTCGTGTCGCTGCTGAGAGCTGGAGAAGAGGATGCCTTCTTTTCGACTTGGGACTCGTCCTTTTCGTTGTCTTTATCATCGCCCTTCTTGTCATCCTTCTTCTTGTCGTCCTCTTCGTCTGATTTCTTACCGCTCCCTCGCCACGATTTCCAAGCAGAGCCTATGCTCGATACTAAATCCACGACGCTATCACTTTCAGGAGGTCTGTTGACCAATTGTTCCTTTTTTATCTGAGCATTTTGTGCAGGTTTTGGTGATCCTCCCAGCTTTGAGCAGAAATTGAAATCACCTAAATGTGCTCGACAGACATAAAACCAATCTGTGTTGCTATTGTCGGCAGACGTTAATACGACACCAGTGAATTTGCTGCAGACAAAGCAAGGTCTCTCTTGAGTTACCAAACGAGCGACATATAGGTTCTGTAATCGTTTTGGGTCTGTTGCAGCTGCTGATGCCATGCTTTACTGTGTGTTTTTCAAAAGACAACAAAGGGGAAAAAAAAAAAAAAAGAAAAAAAGATAGAAACACAAAGGGTTTCAAATAAATATGAGATTTCGTCATTTGATCGCACAATGGAGCGTCTTACAATGGATTGAAATGCGAATTATCATGCAACCTGGATAATATTTAGAATGAAAAGAGGCAATGGCTGTGGTCAACAAACAACTTCCTCTTTGCACATGCTGAATAATGACGATCCCTAATATAACCTTGCTACTCTACTGTAAAATGAAAGCAAGGTCCGCTTTTTGTGTGTAGTATCACACACACACACACACACACACACACACACACACTGTTCTCAAGTTCATTGCCTTGTGATCATCCTTCTCGAAATTACACGAAATATAAATACTCTGGGCTTCCGTACTCTTTATCCCTTTTCTCTTTTTCTTTCTCTCTTTTCTTCTTTTTTAGCAATTCAAATGACACTTTCCTCGGATCCAAATGAAGCCGACATTATTGACATCCAGGATAAATTGGGCTATGTAGACACTGGCCCTATTCAGCAGAGACAAGCAAAGATCGCACGAAATCAGCCTCCATATATGCCAGCAACCTCCTCCACTTCACACATCATCCTGAAAGAACCCATCCCTCAGAGACAGGTACGCTTTCCTATGGATTACAACAACAACATTAAAAAAAAATCATCTACATCGGCAAGACCCGAGACGGGACAGAATTCGTTTTATGGTGCAACACAGCCTAATCATAATAGCGTCAAACAGTCCAATTCACTCGATACCACCACTACTACTGCTCCAGATACCAATACGAACCTTGATACTATTCCTTATCCTTTGAATGTCTCGCAACAGGCACTGCAGCTGCAGCAGAGACCCCCTCCCGTATCTCGATCAAATAGTTTTAATAACAACCCCAACAAGGGAAAGGAAAGGCAACATGTAACGGTTCATGAGATGCCTTCATTAGCCATGCCAGCATCATCATCGTCATCATCTTCCACAGACCCTTCTCCTTTGAAATATCCCAGCAACAGTGGCAACATTGGCTTACGAGGTCCACCGCAGACGACGCATGCAAGAGATGAAATTAAGGATCTGTTTGTCAGTAAATTTCTAGAACTCAAGGAGCTAGCCGACATGCTGCAACTGATTGATGAGCCCCTTCCGCCACCAATGTACAACTACAAACGCTCCTTTGAGCAACTGCCCGGACCAACGCCCTCCAAATCAGATCCCAACTACCCACAATTACGCAGAAAGCCAAGCAAGGGCAGAATGACGGGCGGCTATGCTTATCCATCGCCAGAGAACAATCGCCAAATGTACAACAAGAGTGCGGATTCAACCACAAATTACCAGGAGCCCAATAATCGGCATACAACAGGCAGCAGAGGTATATACAACAACACTAGAGATTATCAGATGGATCATCACGATAATCGAACACCACATGATGGCAATGGCTATTATGGACATCCTCCACCTCCGCCTCAACCAGCACCGTATTACCATAATTTATACGACGACAATCGAGATTACCACCTTGCGAATGAAGAGCCCTTCATGATGAATCACGAAGACTACTACATGGGACCTCCTCCTCCTCACCCTCCACCACCTCAAGTCCACGCTCAGCGAATGCAGCCGCCGCCATCTCGATTCTATGATGGCAGACAACGTAGGAAATCATTCAGTAATCTACACGAAGAGCAATACAGATTAAACAGAAAGGGGTCGCGAGGCAATATGAGGAGATCAACGATAAGACAGGCACCGTCATTTTATGAATACGCAGACATGGCACCTCCTCTGCATCAACATCATCATCCATATCCATATCGAGCTCCTCCCTATTATCCAAATCAACAATATTCTCCTAATGGAGGCGGTAAAGGCAATGGAGGAGCAGGAGATTACTACTCGTAAATAAGATATATAGTATATATAAATATTTAATTAATAGATAAAGGGTATACTTGTGTATATAATAGAGAAAATAAAGCTACTGATCTTCAAGAAACTCTTTCACACTAATAAAGCAAATGACGTTAATGAAATCTGACGCAGCATGTGTGTGTGTGTGTGTGAATGCATAAACAATGGCTTACCTTGGTGCTACACTCTTTGTCTTTAACAGTGTTTCTTTCCATTCTTGCTCGGGATCAGATAAGAACGTAATGGCACCACCACCTCCTACTGAAGTCTCCACTGTGCCATCTGCCTTGGTCGAGGCTACCGCAGTACGGATCACTACGTTGAAATCAGCACTGCCGTTCAATGAAAAGTAGCCCAAGCAGCCTGAATAGACGCCGCGGGGCTTGTGTTGCTCTAATTGATCCAGTATTTGCACAGATCTCAATTTAGGAGCACCTGTCATGGATCCAGGAGGAAAGCACTTTTGCAGAGCCTCTACACTGTTGACATGGGGATGCAATGTACCTCGAATCGTAGACACCAAGTGATGCACCTTTTCGTATGTCTCTACATGCATTAATTTAGGCACACACACGCTGCTAGGTTCACACACTTGAGCTAAGTCGTTTCTAATCAAATCCACAATCTAAAAGCGAGGGGATCATCAGCCCATTTGAAAAAAAAAAGCAAAGGCTGCATCACTTACCATGAGATTCTCTGCTCTTTCCTTGACATCTTGCCACAGGTGCTGCTTTCTCTCATTGTCCCTCATGGTTTGTCTCTCTTGACAGTCGACGCCAAAATCACACTCACCGTCTGGGCAGACACACTTTAGTACACGCGCCATGGTACCTTTGATGGGCTTCATTTCAGCGACATGGTCCTTGCTAATTTTCAAAAATCGCTCTGGACTTGAGCTCAAGAGGCCCATGCCTGGAAACATCAGGAGCGCAGAGAATGGGGCAGGGTTGTTCTTTCTCAAGTAGCGAGTATGGAGACGCCATAGTGTAGGATCATCGGCTTGTGTAGTGATGTGCTTGGGCAGTTGTAAACGGAAACGCGTTGTGAGACAAATCTCGTATGACTCGCCTTCCTTGATATTGTCGATACATTGCTGTATGCTCTTCAAGTACGCTTCATGCTCAGCATCTGCTTGGAAAAGGTTGGTTGCAGTCGCAATGTTAACGGATGGTGTAGGTGTTGTAGATGTGCTTGGCAGGCTGATTTCATCCAATGCTCTACGCTTCAAAATGAGTTGTGCAGTTTTCAATAGTGTGCTTTCCTGTTCCTCGATCCACGCTTTGGCTTGCTGCTGGTGATTGAATCCAATGAGTGGTTGATCCGGCACGACCAGACAGCAGATGTAGATTTCTCGCTTCACTTGATTAAAGACCAAGAACTGATCGACAAATTGAAATGCTGCATCTGGCTCTTCTACACAGAGACAGCAGTTGCGCTGTTGCTGTTGCGCGTCGTGCTGGTGATGAGGACAGGCACACGTTTGTTCTACAGGTATACTGTAACCGTCCATGCTTTCTCGCTTCATCTCATAGCCGAAATAGCCAATAAGACCGCCTTGAAAATCAAGATCGACAGGAGGCTCTCCCCCTTCTACAGTGCGAGCAATAATCTTGTTGTACTGGTTCAGCATGTGAGAGACGTAGTCAAAGAAGGTGCCACTTTCCAATGCTGCGATGGTTGACTGGCCTGCTCGTGTGGTGGTGTAAACTTGTCGATGCAATGTGGAGTAAGTTAGCATGACAGCCGGGTTAGTGGATAACACAGACATTTGAGAATAGGGCGATGCACTTCTACTGCTGTCCAGCCATCCCATATATCGCTCTGCGTGTGGATTGGATAGCAGTTCGTCTACTAGCAGTTCAGGTTCCACCCACGGATGACAGCTGGTTTTGATCAGCAATTCTACTTGCTGCTTTGCTGGATTCATCAATGGTAATGGTGCTTTCAATGATTTGGGTATAGCTACTGAATGAAACAGTAATTCGGCATCCAATGGCGTATTTAAAAATGATCGATGCCCCTAAAACATGCATGTTAAACATTTGCCTTTCGTCCAGTGGTAGCCATGTGATGCGAGCGTATACCTCTTCCACCGTCCACCTGTAAGTTTCTCTCTGAAAATTGCGAATCATGGTAGCTCCTTCTTCCGTAGAGACGGATTCAGGGTGAAATTGAACGCCCCACAGCGGCAGGTGTCTATGCTGAAATCCCATCACTGTCACCATGGTGTTCTTGTTTTCGTTGTCTGAATGACCCAAATAGTGGTGTCGACTGGTGTCTTCCTTATCTCCATCTGCCAAAAATGTAGCATTTTTCAAAGCATCCACATCAGCGTCATTCTCATAACAGTAAGCTGTCAACATCAAGTCCTCGGGCAGTGCTTAAACTCATGTCAGTCAGCTGATTGTTGCAGTCATTTGAGTGATTGCTACTTACAATCCTTGTCTACTACGAGTGAATGGTATCGCACAGCCCAGAATGGCGAGGGACATTGATGCAAAATGTCCTTGTAGCTTGTATTCTCTGGCTGTTGATGATGCACTTGCGACATACGGCCATGCATGATTCTTGGTGCATAAGTTACCTATTCACATTCAAAGCATTTGGTGAGTGTCAGATATGCGCAAAGCATGATTTCTAGCACATTACCTTGCCTCCAAGCAGATACCCAATGCCCTGATGTCCCAAGCAAACACCAAAAACAGGCCTATGTAGATGAGACTGGCTTGGATCCAATTGAGCCTTCAACAGCTCTGTGCATATGCCAAAATCCTTTACTACAGCGTCAAATCATTGGGTAAATTCCCATGTTACTACTAAACATACCTCAAATCTCTCTGGTCTTCCAGGCCCAGGTGATACAATGACATTGTCAAAAAAAGGCAATATATTAACGATAAAATCTTGCCTACATATTTGTATAAGCTTTAACCTTGTTGTCTTTGCTGATACTTGGTCTTTTTGCTTACCAGGTATATTGATCGTTTCGAATGACCATGACATTTGTAGTATCATTGAATAATTGCAACAGATTAAAGGTGTAAGAATCATAGTTGTCTATAATGAGCGTCTTGATGTGTCTCAAGTTGGGTTCCTGCTGTGATGCTGGCATGATGTATACAGATGAAGAAGAAAAGAGAGAAAAACCAACATCTCAAACTCAAGGTATTTATACAGAAAGAGAGAGAGAGAGAGAAACGGACTCTGGATCAGTCACGGGTAACACCTGTTTGAAGCTTTCATACTCCAACAACATTGTCACTTGATAGATGGATGAATTTCCAATCGCAAATGGAAGATTTCAATGAGTATTAGCCGAGCATTGAGTAATCTGACAGATATAAGTCTATATAAGCTTTTGCTCATTGATAAGCATGCAATCCTCATTAAGCATTGGCTTGGATGAGTTTTTGTTTCATTGAACTGTTGCCTGTACTTTAACGGCAGGTATCTAATAATTATCGGCCTTCTGCTCATGTATGAATGCTTATGCACCCTGTAGTTATTAGAAGATGGTATGCTTAGATGTAGATTCGCATTATGATAGTGCTGATCTAAGCCTGCTCTATTACGGTTTGCGGGGTTCCACCATCAAAAACATTTCTCACAATCATGGTTGGTATCACCCTGCTGTGTCCCATCATTGCAACCTATTAAGGGGAGGGGGGTGTGCATCGAATGAAGCGCAGGCTGCTATTGTTATCATGTTGAGCATATTCAGGGCTTGCTCATCATTGAATTGAATACAAGATCTTGATCTCCTTTTTTTCCCATTGTTTGGCATGATTGGTTGATCTCATTTTGAAGCCATCTTGAGAAACATTGGATAAACTCATTTATCCACCTCAATTTAAGCATTACAACATTGGAGAAAAAAAAATCGTTTATAATTTTCTGATACATGAATCATATGAAAAAAAAAAAGAAGAGAAAAAGATGGAGTACAATTAGTAAAGAGAGAGAGAAGAAAAGCGAAAAGACAAAAGGTGAGTGAATAGCGTTATTTTCTGAATGAAGAACAGAGATCCAGCCATTTCATTGGGCGTGTGTGTGTTGAGATCAAGATGGAGCAACTGGCTCATAGCTCCAGATCCTTGCTCTGTTGTCTCCAGATCCAGTTGCAAACAATGGTCTTCTTCCAGGACTTGTGGCAACCGATATCACTATCATCCATTTCAATATATACAAGAGCATCCTATACTGCAACTCGACATTTTAACGTACCTGAATTTTTATGGCCTTGTAACATGAATTGTGTTTGACCAGTACGAGGATCCCAGAATTGAACACTACGGTCTTTGGAGCCTGATACAATCCAGCGATCATCAGGAGTCGTAGCAACAGACAAGACAAAATCTTTGTGACCAGAGAATACTTGAATGCAAGAATTTTTGGTTCTGTCGCCCAATTGCCACATTCTGAGCGTCTTATCCAGACTACCACTCACCAAGGTCTTTCCATCAGGCATGAATGCAACAGAGTAGACGCTGTCTTTGTGGCCTTCTAATCTCTCCAACAAGGTACCGTTAACAGCATCCCAAATTCTGACCATTTTATCCAAACTACCAGCAGCGACGAGTCGACTATCTGGAGACACAGCGATACTAGTCACCCCAGGATCACTTTGATCCACCTCGTTGATACGTAGCGTATGTAAGCACTTTGCGTCTATCCAATCCCAGATTCTGGTTGTACGATCACCTGAGCCAGACACAAGAACACGACCATCGCGACTGAATTCGAGTGAGTAAATATCTTGCTCGTGTCCTGATAAAACACATCTGATGCGGTTCTTTGCAATTTCCCAAATCTAGATTACAAAATTAATTTGTAAGCAGAGGACACTTGATTCGAATTTCCTTACTCTAATGCGTCTATCCTCAGCGCCAGTGGCTAGATATTTGCCATCGGGACTGAAACTAACAGATCGAATGTATAAATCGCCGTCTCTGCTTACAGTGAGATCTTGAAGTACACTACAATGATACAGGGGATAATAAGGGAAGTATAGGAGGAGAAAGGGGGGGATGGCAAGGGAAAGAAAAACAGAGAGATTAGAGTTAATATAAAGTTACAGTGTAACAAATAAGAAAAAAAAAAAGATATACTTACGCTACACGTTTTGAAGTGATGGTATCATAGATATAGGTTGCTTGGTTACATCCAGCAGCAAGGAATCGGCCATCCATGCTGAACTTGACACAGCAGACAACACTGTCGTGATCCAATGTATGAACGAGATCCACCTTGAGGAAGCGAGGTACCTTGGGATTGAATCTAATGTCCGTTATTATTTCACCAGTATACAAAATGAAAACCAACTTACAATGCAAACCAGTCTTGACCTTCAATCTTCATGTTGGCTGGCACGGATTCAGGATCCAAGTCATTCAAGCCAATGCTGGATGGATTGGCTTGCGCAACGGGTGAAGAAGCGGCAGGTGGTGGAGGTGGTGGAGGTAATGTTGATTTGGGTCTGTTACTATTCTGTGGTGGCTGACCTGCGCCTGGTTGCTGTTGCTGTTGAGAGGGAGGAGGGCCAAAATGGGGGACATTTGTCAATGGAGAAGCAGTCAATGGAGGAGGAGGTGGAGGTGGTTGCGATTGTTTAATATCAGGCTGCTGAGATGGCTGATATCCATTGTGTTGCATTTGATCCAATTGTTGTCTTAATCTAGAAATTTCTTCCTCGTACCTATGGAAGCATTTGAATACACCTGTACTTGATAAACAAGAAAAAAACACGTAACTGTTTCTTTAGCACCTGTTGCGTTCGCTCCAAATCTAGCAATGTCTGCTGGAAAACGTTCATTTCTTGAATTTGGCTGTTGACTGTGATGGTTTACAGTGTTTAATGACACATTGGCACTGTGATTGCAGACTCAATAGTATACCTTTGTGCTCATATTCGTCTCGTTGGCTCTTTGTAATCTGAGCCTCCTGACTAAGCTGATCATACTCAACTTTCACTGCCTCCAAGAGTTCCAGTAGTCGTGTTTGATTGGTAGGAACCATAGGTCTATGGTTATACACTGACATTGATGTTGTCCTTGGTTTGTACAATGAAATGAAAAAAGAAGAAAGGAGGGAGAAGAAGAAAGAAAAGAAAAAAAAAAAAATTACAAACATCCAAGGTAAACCACCAAGCATCTCTATTGAAACGCCGTTGATATCCTTCTTTCTCATTCTCATTTTTCAAATGGGGTTTTGGTGTTACAAATACAACGTTTTATTCTAATTTATCCAGATGATCAAGTCTTGTTAGAACCACATTTTTACTTGTTTCTTCAATTTCACCTGCTAGAAACACTTCATCCAAAATGGCGTACACCTGCGTATCTACAGTCAGATTTCATCGGGCTCCATCTCTCATCACATTGACAGCATCACAAACCTTGTAGAAATTAAACACTAGATCCAGTTCACACACATTGCCAAAGAATGCATCCAGCACCTCCACAAAGAAATGAATGGCCTCCAAGTACGACAGTTCGTTATCGTTGGCATCCACACAAACACAAAAGAACAATCCAGCATATCGACGGTATACAATTTTATAGTTTCGAAACTAGACAATGTCGAGGTGCTTAATAACAGGGCAATTCACATCACTGCGCTGATACATACTTCCACAAAGTTACTCTGATGTTTCTGGTCTCTTGGCGCTATCAGGCGATGCACTTCGCCCTTCAATTTCACCTTTTCCTCGTCCTCGTAAGGTACATACCATTTTGCCAATCTCGTTTTGCCTTGACGATTTTGCACTAGAATGAACCGCAGCTATTTATCTATGCATGAGAAGCTGCTTTTATTATGTATCGCAACCGTGCCTTACCATGGTATATAGATGTGTGTGTGTGTGTGTGTGTGTGTGTGTGTGTATATAGATGAGATTCCAACAAGAACAAGAGAGGAAAAAAAAAAAAAAAAAGGAAAAAAACGAGCTATCTGCAAATGGGTGCTGTATAAATTAAAGCGGTGTATGTAAAAAGGAGAACAGGCATCATTTAGAGCTGTCGCACTAAATATTCGGCAAGTGTCTTTTGTTTGAATCGTCCGCACTGTTTATCATTGGATTTCACTGTTCTCTGGCAAGATGTGCTTTACGAATTGCATGCGCTTTACGAATTACATGCGCTTTACGAATTACATGCGCTTTACGAATTACATGCGCTTTATTTAAATTTGCTCCCTCTTTTCAACCATCACTTTCATGCCTTCTGCCATGGGCAACGTGAGAGATACTTGGTAGGTGATATTTTGACCAGCAACTAAACTAAACTTGTATCTCTTCAAAAGGAAGATGATAGCTACCAGCGCTTCTAGCGTAGCTAAATGCTGGCCAAGGCAAACACGTGGTCCTGCATGGAATGCTGGCCATTGGCCTTGGCTCTCTCTGCGCAACTCTCCTTGCTCGTTGATCCAGCGTTCAGGCTTGAAATTCTTTGCATCTTGGCCCCACACCTTTTCACATCTGCCTTGAGCGTAAGGACCTATTCAGCTTGTGCATCAGTATCGCCATTTCGGGTGTGCAACATGTCCTATATCTGTACTTACACCACAAGATGTAATCGCCTTTGCGAATCTGAGTACCATCGGGCCAAATGTCATCATTGAGAGCATATTTCTGGTTCAATGGCACAGAAGGATAGAGTCTTAGCACTTCATAAAAGACGGCATGGGCATATTTCATGTTCTTGATGACTTCAAACAGTGCGGGTGAGTCGTGCATTACTTCCTCATTGATGTTTTCGTTGATTTCCTTGAGCAATTTCTCTTCCACACGAGGATGACAGAGGAGCATGTAGAATGTCCATGAAAGAGCTTGGGCTGTGGTATCTCTGCCTGCAATAACAAAATTCAACACAATGTCGCGAAGTTCATCGTTGTTCAAGAGCTCGCCTTGCGCATTACGAGCATCCATAAAACGAGAGAGCAGATCACGATGTACTTCGCCATTGGCAATTTCAATGCGACGCTTTTCGGTTACTTCTCTTGCAAAAGTATCCACTACTTCCAAGTGATTGTTCATGCTGGATTTCCAGGGCATGGCAATGCTCAGCAAGCGTTCAGTGATGGGCCAAATAGGATTGACAAATCGCTGGAATGTGGTCTTTTGTGCTTCGTCAAAGGCTGCTGCAAATGGCACTTTACCGTCGGATTTCAAGGCATTCAAATGAACACCAAAACCAAGCAAAATGAAGGAATCCAATGTGAATTTAAACATAATGTCGTGGAAATCAACAATCTGCTGATTATCGGCTGCCTTGTCCCAGATATGGCTTGACATGAATTCAATCTCTTCCACAAAAACGCTACTCTACATGTCAGCATGTGTTATATTTGCAAGCGAATATGTCTACGTACTCTGTAAAGTGATCTCTAAAGTTTTTGACGTTAAAGATATGACTTGCTGTTTTACGCTGGTACTTCCAATCTTCGCCATTTGCATTGAAGATGCCGTTTCCAAAGAGACTGACAAGCGAAGCATGGAATTCAGGGCCCTTGATGTAGTTTTCAAAGTTGTCTGTTCAATAACATTATTAGTCTTTCCGCAATATCGGTAGGATCAAGATGCTTACTCTTCAATACATGCTCGACATTTCTTGGATCCAGAGTTGCAATATGACGAGGAATGCCCAAAGCAGACATGGTTCTATGCAAAGTTATTAGTATCGACACGTCTAAATTTTTTAGTGTGTGATGTTTACAGCGTCATCTCGTCCAATTGAGTGAATCCTTCCAACAAGAAATCATGAATCTTCTCCTTGTATTGAATCAAAATTGGTAGATTGCCCACCAAAGGCCATCCAGATTGAGTTTTAATGCCTTCACGCTTTGGATCAAATACGGCGCGATCATTGTAAATAGCAGTTAATGCAGCAATGCCAGCAATGGCTGCACCACCAATGTAGCTCAACATGGGATTAGAAGTAGAAGAAGACATGGTCTAGTATGATTTGAATGATGAGAAGGAGAAAAATGCAGGCTAAAGTAATGAATGAAAAAAAAAATGCCTATTTTATATAATGATCTTTTGCCGTTGTACAATATGACATTGCGTTGTACGAGTCTTGTTTAAAGTTGTGGGGAGCAGTTCGCTCTCTCCCCAGTCAAAAATGAACCAGCATCTTCACATGAAATGAAGATCTCAGTAGTGTGTGTGTTTGTGTGTGTGTGTGTGTGTGTGTGTGTGTGTGTGTGTTCTTTTAGGCAGACTATACACTGAACGATACAGTGTGCTCCTCTGTCATACCCCACTAAATTCTATACCATCTCACGTGCCATTTCCTTGGTTTTTCTTGGACTTTTCCTCCATCATGCAAGCTATGTAGATGAGTGAATCACCTGCCTAAATAGGAATACAAACTTGACATAAAACAGTTGTATTCGATTTGGAAACAAGCGTCATACACGGGCTTTATCTTATCTACTCTTGGACTAGAGATCCAAATGACAGATTGTTGCGTACACAGCATCCATTATCGTACGAGGCCATCCTATTACTATGATAGTATGCATCACTTGATCAACTGTTTATGTTTTATAAAATACCAAAAGGGTCGATTGCGTTGACATGCCGTATAAACAAACCATGATGGAATGATATTGTTGCTGCTGTGAGAATGTCTTTCCGTCCATACAACATGTAATTCTGTTTTTCTTATGTAATAGTTAGTAGCCAGTGTCACCCTTGCCTATTTTGTGAGCGTTTTCATAGTGCTAGTTCGAAACAAATGTCCTCTTGTAGAGTTGAAGAAGAGTTACATCGAATTTGCTCCAAGAAATCAGATACGTTTGACTAATTTTGTTGGAAATGGAATGACTAACTGAATGCAAATACTTTTGGTTTCATAATGCTTTACAGCTAATGAGCCTCATTTTCAATGCCAACCCCTTTTACTGTTGCAAGAATCCATCGTGCTATAAGGAAAGATTTAATGCGATTTCATGGTATAAAGGTTTACTAGCTGATCAATATCGTTACGCTTGTGTTAGTTCTACAGCAACTTTTTTTGAGAGATTGTCACTGCAAAAGACATGTTTATAAGGAAAGCCTCCCAAAAAAAGTAAATCAAAGTATTAAGCTAAGCGATTGTCCTTTCAAATTCATGATCCCCTTTACTCGGCATCGCAATCATTATAGTCATCATCAGACAGGCAATTGGGTCAGCCAGCAGCAAGCCGCCGCCAAAATCGATTCAAACTCAGCTTATTCTTTCTGCTCAAGATTGGACAGATATTGTCTTTCTTCGACTTCTTTAATCTATTCCATGATATTCGACTACATAAACTGTGATGATCACCCTACGCTTCCTAATACATTCTTGAAGTACTTTTCAAGGCGCTTCCAATGGTGCCAATTGTAATGAAAGTTTTGAATGAAATTATTGAGCAATTTGATGAAATTTGAAATGAGGTTTTTTAGCGAAAATAGCCATATTTTGCATATGAAAACCTCATAAAAGTGGCTTCAGAGGTTGCTTTGGATCGAGAGAAACATTTTGATCCAATATATACCATAGTAAAAGTCGTCATTTTCAAGGTGAAAAACGCGATTGTTTGATTTTCGGTGAAAACCATGAGGTACCCCTCATGCTTTTTGGTCGATTTTTGACCATGTTTTTTTTGGCCTAAAAAGTGGCGCAAAGGTGTCAGGAAGTTACTACTACTCAAGTACACTTGTTTGGCGTTATTACAACAGCTCAGAAAGGCCTATATGTTAAGGCTTGAATGCTTGAAAACTGTCCAATTTGGTTGTATTTTTGCTTTATAGCTTTTATTACACGGCATGAATCACATCCTTGGTAGCTGAAATCGTCTGGAAGGGCAGTTCTGTAGCCTGTGCAATTTTTAATTCAAATAGGAGGCATATTGATTCTGGTGGTAAAGCTAATTGATGCAAATTTTGATGCGTTATGTTGCTGGTAAGCTTATTAGCAATGGTAATGAAAACCCGAATTTGCTGCTTGAATACTATGGCTTTGCACCTTTGCTTTGCTACGGTGAAGCCCTCCTATAGGTCAATGTTACCAAATGTTGAATTATGTTGAGTCTGTAGAAGCTGCGGGAGTTCAGTAACTCAGTGGTAGTCGGATTATGATTTACATTGTTACTCATTGTCTATGCTGGGACGCAATGTTCGGCAAGAAGAGAACTATAGTTGTTGAACCCTGGTGTGCTTGAGTGCTCGAAATATTGAAGGTGTCCTTCCCGGTGTAAATTTGACAAGATGTCATAAATTTTCCTGGAAGGAGATGCCCACCTAGAATGGTAATGTTGGGACACTGCCGAGCAAGTATGGCAATGTTGAGGAATGAATCTTCAGCTGATGGAGCGTCAAAAGTGCAATCACGATCATGAAGGCAGAAACCAGAGATGATTTGCTTGACACACTTTCTAGTCTGGCTGTTGAGAATGCACAGGCTTCGTAAAAAAAAAACAAAGCCTTGTAGATTAATACTCTTGTAAGGTTTCTTTTAGCTACTGGGTTCCATTGTTTGCAAGTGAGTTGGAGCTGTAGAAAATCCGTCTTTGAGATGCAGTCGTCGGTAAACATGTGTTCTAGTATTTTGAGAGGCAGGTTTAAATACATGATAATAGGCTTTGAAAGGTGGAAGTGAGCAAGTGATGTAAATTAAAGTAACATATATTCAACTGATTGATGTGCAGTCAAATCAGTCCGCGCTTGCTGGATGAAATGGCCTTTAAGCGTGAAGATACGATGACAACAGGCATGCACCTGGATGTAAATATTGAATAAATGCACTGAAGCGTGTTTGATAATGTTTATAAATCAATTTTATTGTATCGTGTCTCAAGGAAACAAGAAATCTAGCAGTTGCTATTGATGGCTATTTTTAAAAGTGCGTGTGTTTGTGTGCAAAATGACTATGTATAAGGATAGATTGATTAAATTAACTACAGGGTGAAGAGAAAGGAAATATGCTATAAGGAAACAAGATAAAATCAAAGAAATGCAATTTTTGTTTTTCAAAAAACTTAATTTCCAAGAGCACGTCTTGCCTTGATAGAAGCAGCTAAACCATCCAACATTTCTTCAGTAGTAGCGAAATCGACACAAGCATCAGTGATGGACACACCGTATTTTAAAGCAGCAGGGCCGGCCTCAGGAACGCTTTGCTTACCCTCATTGATATTGGATTCAATCATGACGCCGATAAGAGCTTTATTACCAGAAGCAATCTGCTCACCCAAATCCTTGCATACCTTGGGTTGATTGCGATGATCCTTGGAGGAGTTACCGTGAGAGCAGTCAATCATGATGTTGGCTCTGATACCAGCCTTCTCACAAGCAGCGCTGGCCTTGTCAACATGTTCTTTGCTGTAGTTGGGGCCATCATTGGAACCACGTAAAATGACATGACAGTCAGGATTACCAGTAGTATGTGTGATACTGACAGTACCGTTCTTGGTAACTCCCAAGAAATGATGAGGGGCAGAAGCAGATCCAATACCGTCAATGGCAACACGCACATTACCATCAGTACCATTCTTGAAGCCAACAGGGAAAGAGACACCGGAAGCGAGTTCACGATGAAGTTGGGATTCAGTAGTACGAGCACCGATGGCGCCCCAGGACATGAGATCAGCAAGGTATTGAGGAGAGATGGTGTCGAGCAATTCGACAGCAACAGGCATACCCATATCAGTAAGCTCACAAAGCAACTTACGGCCAACGCGGAGACCCTTGTTAATATCGTAACTAGAGAATGGAAATCAACATACAACGCACAAGCGCATCCCGGGCAATTTCAAATGCTTACCTGTTGTTGATATCGGGGTCATTGATCAAACCCTTCCAGCCAACAGTAGTTCTGGGCTTCTCAAAGTAAGAGCGCATGATGATGACAAGCTCACCTATGTGCTTCTCCTTGATCTTTAATAGTTTTTGACCTGGAAAGAATGAAAGGAAAAGGCGGGAAATGTTAATCATCCCACACGTAACACGAAAAACTTTTTGATCTACTACTTACAATAGACTTTGGCGGCTTCGGTATCATGGATGGAGCAAGGGCCCACAATGACAATGAGACGATCATCCTTGCCGTGGAGAATTTGAGAGCACTCGTTACGAGCTTCAGTAGATGTCTTTTGAGAGTTTTCAGACTAGCGATACGATCAAATGTTAGAATCCCGTGTGTTTTTTTTTTTTTTTTTTTTACATTTGACATGTCAATTTCAACTTACAGGAGGGAACTCTTCTTGCAAGAAGGCAGGAGTCAACAAGGCGTTGTAGCCAGTGATACGAAGGTCTTCCATCATTTTATATATGTTGTTTAGGTGCAGTAAAGTAGAGAGAGAAGAAGAAGAGAAGAAAAAGTTAACGAGGGGAGTAAAGGGATATTTAAGCGTATTCCTATCAGACTAAAGCAGTCCATGAAATAATGAACCACCACCATCGATGATGAACATGGTATTAGACTAATGACTCACATAAACTCATACTTTTTTTTTTCTCGCCGATTCAAGTATGGATATTTTTACACATGTCAAAAAAGAGAGAAAGAAGGGTTCCCTCTCCCTGTGTAGCCATGCTTTTTTTAGCTGTAAATTTTTTTGAGATGTCGCTTTAAAGGCATCAAATCATGATTTGGTTGAAAACAAACAAATTGCAAAAGAAAAGACCCGACTTTTCGTAATGACAAACAACCATATCCGAGGGCCCTTTTATTTTTGCTAGGTGAAATCTAATGTGACTATATCAATCTGGGCAAGATCAGATAGCTATGCATAGAAATGCATGCAATAAATACCTGTCTATGTGTTTTATTCATGAAGCATATCTCCCTGTTTTCCATTTCTATTTTTCTTTCTTTTCTCTCTTGCCAATCTTTTTCATCATGAGTAACACTGTGTTGTTTGATACTCTCAAGAAGTCGGATCTAGATCAGGTATGACAAATCAAGTGAGAAAAATGTACAGCGTTATATAATGATAATTACATTCTGTATAGTACTACACTAGGTAATGCCGCCGTATACTATTCGCTATAACATGTATGAGTCTTACAACAAGATATTAGTTTTTTGTCGTTTGGGATTTCTCATTTGAATGGTTTGGCACAGGTAAATGTTCCCAATGTTGACCCCTGATTTCATCATATTTGTGCCCCTGAACATTCTCCTTGACTCACATTTAAAAACCCTTAATGAAAAAAGATATCAATGCAAGACTATGGCAGTTTGGGCATCACATCCATCAGTGATAGAAAACGATTATTTCAGGTACTAAAATAGACTGTAAAATAAGCACATGAATCGGTACCTGAATCACAAAATTATAGCTAGTTCAAACACTACGACATCAACAAGACTTAAGCATCATGCCGTCCTCTCCCAGTAACAGAGATTTCACAGACGAATCCTCCGCGTCTTTCAGCTCGTTTGGTGATATGAGAACACCGCAACAACAGCCATCCTCTCGAATGAGGTTCCCATTAAAGACCAACATGATTGGATTGTCAAGTGTATCCTACGTGAAGAAGACTCCGACTATGAACAATAGCAAGGATCAGGTACCACCCAACATATCCACTAGCATGTCTTCTCCAAGAATCAGTTCTCCGTGCCGCTCACCATTTACAGCGAAACGAAATCAGCTTCCAGTTTTTATTCGCAAGCAACAGGAGGAGGTAGAGGAGGAAGAGGAAGATGACAGAGAGATCGTAAAGAACAGCCATTTGAACCCTTATGGGCTGCCTATCAGTAGCAACAATCGACATTTGGCACAGAGGAAGAGCGATTTGAATCAAAAAATCCGTGTTTGTGTGCGAAAACGACCACTTGCTAAGAAAGAGATTGAAAAGTCTGAAAAGGACATTACACCTGTACAAGGTATTCGCACTGTACATGTCAATGAACCAAAGTACGTATATTTGTTGTGTGTATGTGTGTATGCATAATTAAGCAAAAACAAACACGATTTAGGGTCAAGGTGGATTTGACAAAATACATTGAGCAGCATACCTTTAATTTCGATGATGTGTTTGACACGAATAGCACAAACGATTATGTAAATATGGTTGCACATGTTGTATTGGGTCTTCTCATTCCAAGTTGTGTGTCATAGATCTACCAAAGAACTGCACAGCCATTGGTCAAGTACATCTTTGGTGGTGGTAAAGCAACCTGTTTCGCATAGTAAGTTGGTTATATACCATCCAAAGTGAGGGCTCAACGTGATGTATGTAGTGGCCAGACGGGCTCAGGCAAGACGTATACTATGATGGATCCCAAGCACGGGCTCTACATACTGGCAGCTCAAGATATATTCAACATGTTGCAGCAACCTGAATACGGGCATTTGTGTGCTTGGATTGGGTTTTATGAGATTTATCAAGGACAATTGTACGATTTGTTGGCAGATAGAAAGAAGCTTTTCGCAAGAGAAGATGGCAAGCAAAATGTGGTGATTGTAGGCTTAAAAGAGTACCTGATCAAGAATGTCTCTGACTTGATGCAAGTGTTTGAATATGGAAACCAGATTAGAAGCACAGGTACAAGCCATCTCACATGGACATATACGTGCAACTACACATTTACTTACAGTTCAGACTGGCAGGCAGCACGGGTGCTAATTCTGATTCCTCTCGCTCTCATGCTATTATGCAAGTTTTGCTGAAGCCCATCTCAGCAGGCAGAAAGAAATCAGTGGAGCCCATTGGAAAGCTTAGTTTTATTGACTTGGCAGGCAGCGAACGTGGTGCTGACCGAGGCGAAACTGATCTCAAAACACGGATGGAAGGTGCTGAAATCAACAAGAGTTTGTTGGCCCTAAAAGAATGTATCCGAGCACTGGATCAAGACAAGAAACACACACCATTTCGACAGAGCAAACTGACTCAGGTACTCAAGGACTCATTTGTGGGTAACTCCCGCACCTGTATGATAGCCACTGTATCACCCAACCAATCCAATAGCGAACACACGCTCAACACATTGCGATATGCAGACAGAGTGAAGGAGCTCAAGAATGGCGGGCTTGTGTGCAGTAGTAGCAGCGACCAAGAGCTCGAGCAACATATGATAACATCTAGCAATACAATGCCCAACATGACAAAGAAAGAAGACATGGACGACGAGCCTGTGTTTCTACTAGACCATGATGACCTCCACCCATGTTCAGATGCCTTGTTGGACACAGATTTCCCTCATGAATTTTTGTCTACCACACCACCTACGTCCAGTGCATCTCCACCCATCACACCGCCACAGCAATACCACCACCTCAAGAACCAGTTCGATCTATCCATGATTGAAGACTTTATATCCCAGCACCGAAATGAAATTCGTGCGACAAACGAATGCTCTAAAAAGGAGACCCGCTACTTGACTCATGTGTCCCTTGGGCTCACAACTGACAATAGGCTCAAAATGTCGAGTGCGTTTATTGATTATCTCAGCCACCTCGACGATATTCTCGATCAGAAAATGGCTGCCATAGATCATTTGAAAGAAAAGATACGCTTGGTACTGAATCAAGTTGAATAAATGAGTGTTTCACTGCAAATCCTATTCCGGCTTTTGTAATGGTCTGTGTAATCTTCCATTTAATTTGATAGTAAACAATAAAAAACTTGTTTCTTTTTCTTTTTTCCCTTCATCTCGTATACAATGTCTTGCTTATCCGTTTCGTCAAATGGCATCGGCGTGGCCAATCTGCCAAACCAAAAGCACAAAATCGTCACTAGCAAAGGAACCAACTTTACTTTGATGGTCTGTGGTGAATCTGGTCTCGGCAAAACCACATTTATAAACACACTTTTTACAACCACCATCAAAAACTACAGACCTCAGGAAAAGAGACATGATAAGCAACTGGATAAAACGGTCGAAATTGAGATTACTAAAGCTGGTATGTATTTGGCATGTCATATTTGCAGGGAAGAGGTGCTTATCAGATATCAGAATTGGAGGAAAAGATGTTCAAGGTAAAGCTGTCTGTCGTCGATACACCTGGATTTGGAGACTACATCAACAATCGGGACAGCTGGCTGCCTGTTGTTGATTTCATCGACGACCAGCACGAAAACTACATGAGACAAGAACAGCAACCTTCTCGCCAAGGTAAAATAGATATGCGTGTTCATGCTTGTCTTTACTTTATTAGGCCTAATGGACACAGGTACGACATTTTTTTCCATCACACACCCAAGAAAAAAAAAAAAAAAAAAAAACTGGTTTTAACTCTCTCTCTCTCTCTCTCTTTGTACATCTGTGTATGTGTGTAATCTGTGTAGCTTAAAGCCACTAGATATCGAAATCATGAAGAGACTTGGTTCAAGAGTCAACTTGATCCCTGTCATCGCAAAAGCAGATACGTTGACTCCACAAGATTTGCAGAAATTCAAAGAAAACGTAAGTGCTTGCAGCAGTAATTTCATCATTTCGACCCTTAACAACAAATGCTCAGGTCCGTGAAGCAATTAGCTATAACAACATTTCCGTATTTTCATGTGCTGTGGATAGTGAGGATGAGGAAACAACCGTGCGCAATCAAAGCATTGCAAGTGCATCTCCCTATTCCGTTATTGGCTCCACCGAGATTGTTCAAACTGCTGACGGTAGACAAGTACGAGGCCGTGAATACAGCTGGGGCGTTGCTGAAGTCGAGAACGACGATCACTGCGATTTCAAGAAGCTTCGAAATCTGTTGATTCGCACGCATATGTTCGAGTTGATATCCACCACAGAGGAAATTCACTATGAACACTATAGACAACAACAAATGGCAACTCGTAAATTTGGTGAGCCAAAGTAAGTTGCATGTCGAGAAAGATGGGGACAGTGGAATAAATGCATATTGGATAGACTCAAAAAGAGCGAGAATCCCAAGCTTCGTGAAAAGGAGGAAGTTTTGAGAAAGACATTTACCGAAAAGGTCAGAAATGAAGAAGCTAGATTCCGTCAATGGGAGCAACAGGTATAGAGAAAGACTTGCTTATACAGATGCATGTATGCTAAATTAACGGTAGCTTATCAATGAGAGAGATCGATTGAATAAGGATTTAGAGGCTCAGCATGCCAATATCAAGCGACTTGAGGCTGAATTGGATCAGTTATATCAACAAGGGGGCGGACGTAGCCATACAGTGAGAAGATAATAGTCAAAGCCTGGAGTCAGCTATCACATAATATCCTTATTTTTTATCCAACATCTAATCATAACTTTAATAAATATCAGCGTTATCTGATTCTCAGGAACAGAACAATCAACATGACTGGAATTCATGCAACACAAGCCCCCCGCCGCGGTAGATAATTTGAGTTTACGCAAATGCGACGACATGTGAGCAACGATTGTATCGTTAGGTTCTGTTTCTGTTAATATAAGAATCATGTCAACTGCTATCAAGCCCGCCTGGAAAAAGTGGCTGCAATCATCACTGCAAGAAAACATTGCTAAATTAGGCACATCAGCAACGTATGCCTCAATTGCCACTGTAAAAAAGGACAACACGCCAGCTGTGAGAACCGTGGTGATGAGAGGTTTCGTAGCCGAACATCACACCGAAGAAACAGGCTGGGAAAGTGATCTTCTCGTGATAATAACTGACAAGACATCTGATAAGGTTGAAGAAATTAGAAATAACCCACATACTGAAATTAACTGGTAAATGACATGCTAATGAGAGATATTCGCATTATTAATACAGGCAATTTATAAAGGTACATGAATGGCACCATGGAGCAGTTTCGTATAGGTGGAACCATCGACATTGTAGAATCAAATTTTGATCAAAGCAAGCTAAACCATTTGCACTCAAGTATGGCTATGCGTCAGTCCCTTCAAGATATGGACAGCCATAAAAGCTTAGCTTTGCAGTCGTTTGCTAAACAACAACAGCAAGAACAGCGTCTCAACTGGCAAGCAGAAAGATTACGTCAATTTATTCAGTTTGGAGCATCCATGAGGGCCAATATGGTGCATAGTCAGCAAGTAAAAGAGCTCGAGATTAATGAAATTGACCCCACTAGTGGTTGGTATCAAAACAGTCAAGTGCAAGATCTTTTGGACGAAGCTTATGAGAATTTTGTGCTACTTGTTGTAAAAGTTAGCTCTGTACGTCATTGGTCTCCATCAACAGGAACCAAATCCATGTTATAAGCTTGGTCACACGTTTTACAATAAAGAGAGTAAAGTTTATGCTTTTCTGCTAGATATAAACTACTGAGTAGTATTAATTAAATGGGAAAATCATCTCTTTCCTCTTCTTTCCTTTGTAAAGTGATAGCACTGCAGAAATGACCATGACTCAAATTGCACCTGAGCATAGCCAAGATGATTCGACATTAGCATCCAGATACAAATTATTATCTCCAGCACCTCATCATCCAGCAGCGAGCAATACAAATCATCGGTCGCTCGATTCAATATCTCCAGCTCCAAGCAGTAGACCAAAACTTCATACTATTCACAGCTCAGATACATCTCGGTTCCCAACATTGGAGAGGCTGGAGAACTCGATGATGTTATCTAAGAATTCAAAAATTACAATTGAGCCTGTTACATTTCCAGGAGACCATACCAGTAGCGGAAGCAATAACAACAATATGACTAGATCAAATGGGTCACAGGTTTGTTTAATAGAGAAACAAGATTATGTATGAAATGGATCTAAGCAAGTGTTTCATGTGTCGTTAGAGCGATTTGAAGAGCATGCATTCGACCACCAGCAATCACAAGAAGAGAAATCAGTACAGAAAGAAAAAGAACCATCACTCAACACCAACAGAGATCTTTGCAAAGAACCTCAGTGAAGCAGTACTCGGTGTAGATGGTATAAATATACACAGCTTGATCCAATTAAAGAAAAATATAAGGTTAATCACCATGTTCTTTATAGATTCGTTTGAAGATGGCTATGTCTACAATACAAAAGGAGGCTTATATCCTTCACTTTCACCTCCAATTCCATTTGAATCCAAAAGTAACCATCGCTCAGCTACAAGTAGTAATGATGAAGCCAACAGCTATTTCTCGGACCATTACAAACAAAAGTTCAGAAGACCTGGACTTCGGTCAACAGTATCCGAATTGCCTGCAAGAGGAGTCAAATCAGTCTATTTGGACTCCATGTCTTCCAAATTTGAGAAGCAAAAGTTTCGTAATTCACATTTTCGATGTTCATCATCATCTGGAGAGGAAGGAGAAGAGGAAAATGTGTCGCTATTATACTACTCTTCATCGAGTTCAAATACGAGGCGTAAACGATTGTATGAGAACAGGAGGTATGGTGGTTCGAATCAATCTTTTGCGTGATATATACTCACAAGCTGCTAATAGGAAAAAATCAAGAAAACTATTTGCAATGTCAGTCTGTTGTGGTTGGCTATCTATCATCAGTTGTATTTGTACAATCATATGCCTCTCTCTAGTATTTTTAGCTAGTCCATTACAATCAGTGGAAGCCATCACATTCAGCAATGTGCTGGGAACTCAAAAGCAATTGATTTTTAATTTTCATGCAAGAGCACGGTAAAGTGTAATGCGATCATTGACTCTAATTCTCACCATGCTTACTAACTGCGATTGCATTACACTGATATTTAGCAATTCAAATGCATGGAAAATTCAGATAGCACACGCAGCTATCAGTGTTTTTGCAGCAAGTCATTTCGTTCCAACGTCAGGCATGATGAATGAGACTAGTAGTAGTGTTAGTAGTAAGACGAGACAAGGTATGTTGTAATTAATGAAATATACGGATTATTACTGAATCTGTGTATAGAATACCTTGCCACTATCAATAAGCTGGATGATCCCTTGATCTTTGAGGCATCACCACTATTTTATTTTAGATCAAAATCGAGTGTTTCAACAAGCCAAATTCAGATCAAGAATCCAGGTGAAACAAAAGGAGATACTAGTGGGAATGAGAGATGGTATGGTAGAAGGTCTTTGCTCTATACAGACCCAATGCTTATATTTACACTTTAAATATGTAGGTCATTACTAATAAGATACCCCTATGAATTGACGTTAAGAGGTGTTTTGAAGTACCAGCTATTCCCTTATATCAGCAGCAAGACTTACTCGGCAAGAGTGTGCAAAATAATGCAGGTTGATCCAGCCACTGGTAGTATCAAAGAAGTCCCACTACCCGAACAGTCTATTTGCGATGAAGCTTGATTGAATATGCTATTAAACGTACACAAGTAATCTGGCATAGAACTCAAGAACCATCTGTAAATGTAGATACGTACTTCCATTAATGAGTTTTGCTACAGTATGTGCTGTGGTGCATTCACTATTATATACCCGCTCTCTTGATTTGAAGAGCTATAAGCATTGAAGCGCATCATCTATTCCTTTGTAACTTGCAATAAACCGAATCGAATATTTATTTGCTGGTTGCCGTCATATAATATACTCAAATACTTTGAACAAAGTGTCGTCGTGATCAATCAGAGGCATATAAATTTAAAACATTCAACACCGGACAAGGCTCCATTTGTTCGTATTTACAAGTATGTTCATAAAATTCTGGGAAAAGAAGAAAAACGACAACCTGAAATAATATCAAGGAGGATGCTTACAATCGATCTAACCCTCTCTCAAATAAGATTAGAGTTAATCGTAGGTGAAGATAGGCGCACTCAAAATCATCCAACCAACAATGAGATTGCAGCCATCATTCCCAATGAATATTCTGGTACACTATTTTCAGAAATTATTGGGACATTTTTAAAAAAAATTGGTACTAATTCTGAATAAATATTGGGTCAATTTATAATTAAATTTGGGACAAATCTTGAACTATTTTGGAACACTTGCCTAATTAATATTGGGACACTTTTCGAAATTATAATGAGACAAAACTAAATGGGATTTGAGATGAAATCATAGTCGCTTTCTTCGTTATTCATAACATGTCAGATATCAGAATTTACTACGAAGACGGAATAAATGCTCCAGTCGATGGGCATGGAAACGAAGCTGTTGAGATGGATGTAGACAACGAAGCCTTCCCTCTCGGTAACATTACCAACTACAATACTTATGTTGATAGGAAGCCACCTGAAAGAGAATTGACCGTACTAAAAAAGAAAAAGATTAAAAATAAGAAAAATGTGCCCAAGACTGAATATAACAGCTACACAGACAAAGACAAGGCAAGATTCTTTATCCTTATCTACGACCATGGCATGAATCCTAATCAAGCTTGGAAAGCGCACGGCCATATATCAAGAACAACCGCTTACAGATGGTACGCAGAGGATCAAAAAAAGGTTAACAAAGAAATTGAGGACGATGAAGAGCCAGTTAAGAGAGCAGGTCGACCAAAGATTTTGAACGAAGACCATACGAAGCACCTAAAACTAGAATTTGAAGATAATCCATCAGTAACAATCGAACAAGCTCATGAGAGTCTTGTTAGGGCTTTCTCGGGTTTGACTATCAGCCAAACGACTATTTACAACTACATGACCAATGATCTTGCCTTGACTTTCAAGAAAGCTCATTTCCATTCCAAAGAAAGAAACTCGCCTGAAAACATTCAAAACCGGTACGACTGGGTAGTCAAATGGAGCCAAACCGACATGGATTACATGTCCAACTGTGTTTTCATTGATGAGTCAGCTTTCCATATTAACTTGAAGCGAACAATGGCTTGGTCAGAGAAAGGAACTCGAGCTGAAGTGCCTGTACCTCAAACAAGAGCGAAAACTACCACTATTATTGGCGCAACTAGCGTATGGGGAGTGTTGAATGTTCAAGTGAGGTTGCCTGGAACATCCAACAAGAAAAGAAAGTTAGCTGGCACTTCTTCTGGAAAAGCAACAACAACTGTGGGTACTGTAACTGGCCACTACTTTAACTTTATTGCGAAAACGATTGATATCATGGACCAGCATGAGCAATTCAAAGATTTTTATCTTGTTATGGACAATGCACCCATCCATACAGCCAAGGATATTGAGAGGTATATCATTCAGCGAGGTTACAGATGTGTTTACCTCCCACCATACTCCCCTGAGCTTAATCCTATTGAGCAATTCTGGCATGTGGTCAAGAGTAAACTCAAGAGGGAGAGGCTCTTAAAAACTGAAACACTTTCGACCAGGATTACCGATGCATGCAATGATGTATTGTACAGTGATCTTGAAGATTCTGCTCGCTACTCTGTTAAGAAATTCGATGTTTGTTTGGCGAAAGAGCCATTGTAATAAATGAATTTTACTTTCTCTGAAAATGTCTCAATGTTTTTTTTATATGTGTCCCAATATTAATTAGGCAAGTGTTCCAAAATAGTTCAAGATTTGTCCCAAATTTAATTATAAATTGACCCAATATTTATTCAGAATTAGTACCAATTTTTTTTAAAAATGTCCCAATAATTTCTGAAAATAGTGTACAAGTTTAAAGATATCCTCACCACATACCCAAAGCGCTTTTTATCCAGTGGTAGTAATTTTTTTCAAAAGAATTAATCAAACGTATACTGCCTACATGCCAGGCTGAAATGTTACAAATCATGATTGCGAGGCTGTGATTACATATATTTTAGTGGTGAGCCAGGCTTACTGGAGTTGTCAGCTGTAAAAATGCCCAACAAAAGCAAAATAAAGTATCCAGATTAAGCATTAGTCTTTTTAAATTCATGATCCCTATTTAATCAGCATCCCAACCTCATTGCCATCGTCAGGCAGGCATTTGGGTCAGCCAGCAGTAACGCCGCCCGCCGCTACACTTGATTCAAACTCAAATATTTTTATTGCTCAAGATTGGCCAAATTTTGTTTTTTTTTCGACTTCTTTAATCTATTCCATGATATTCGACTACATAAACTGTGATGATCACCCTACGCTTCCTAATACAGTCCCTGGTGGTAGGGCGAAGTGGTAGAACTCCCGTATGCCAACGGGAGGATCCCCGGTTCAAATCCTGGTGAACGCAAGTTGTTTGATTTTTTGACGTAGTACTGATGTCCTCGTTTGGTGTTTTGTATTCTTATCCATTATCTATATTTTGACGATTTCCGCAAGACTGTATTGGCTCTAGGAGTCGCACCTTATTAGTAGTAGATTTCTTTCCCAACTTAGTTCAAAAATATCTTATTCCCCTTCATTGCAGACATTGGGTCCACCAACAGTCTTTTCTATCCCTCAGTATGACATTTAAAGGACTTTAAATAAAACCTGGAGCTCGTCTCCCCTACAAAAAACGCTTCCTAATACATTTTTGAAGTACTTTTCAAGGCGCTTCCAATGGTGCTAATTGTAATAGGTATTATGACTGAAATTATTGAGCAATTTGATGAAATTTGAAACGAGGTTTTTTAGCGAAAATAGCCATATTTTGCATATGAAAATCTCATAAAAGTGGCTTCAGAGGTTGCTTTGGATCGAGAGAAACATTTTGATCCAATATATACCATAGTAAAAGTCGTCATTTTCAAGGTGAAAAACGCGATCGTTTGATTTTCGATGAAAACCATGAGGTACCCCTCATGGATTTTGGTCGATTTTTGGTCATGTTTTCTTTGGCCCAAAAAGTGGCGCAAAAGCGTCATGTAGCTACTGCTTCTCGAGTATAATTGTTTGGCGTCATTCCGGTGGCTCAGAAAGGTCTACATGTCAAGATATGAAGGCTTGAAAGCTGTCAAATTTGGTTATGTTTTGCGTTATAGAATTTATTTACACGGCATGAATCACACCTCTAGCAACTGTGCTTTTCTGGAAGAGCAGCTCTGCAGCCACTGCAATTTCTATTTCGAATAAAAGGAACATTGATTTTGTTACGGCTAATTCATGCAAGTTTTGAAGCGCTATGTAGTTGGTAAGCTTATTAATAATGGAAATGAGAAATCGAATTTGCGGCTTGAGCACTACGGTTCTACGCCTTTGCTTTGCCACAGTAAAACCTCCACTAAGGTCATTGTTATCAAGTATTAAATTAGATGCTTAAATATCATGATTTTGCACTTTTGCTTCGCTACGGTAGAACCATCCAAAAGCTCAATGTTACCTAATACTGAACTAAATGCAACCTTGCTACACTCAATGACCGTATCGCCCTGCAGACTCTCACCTTTAACATTTCAAATCAAAGATAGTAGAAATCTGCTATACTGTATAACTAGATTTTAAACAATCAACTATTACTAGCAATGGGAATGAGAAATCGAGCTTGCTGATTAAATACTATAGTTTTGCACCTTCGCTTCGCTCCGGTAGAATCTCCCTATAAATCAGTGCTATCCAATGTTGGATGAGATGCTTAATCGCCATGATTTTCCGCCTTTGCTTCGCTACTGTGGAATACACCCAATCTAATGACCAATATTCCGATAGTTCATCCAGCTACTAGATTGAGATATAAACTGTCTTTGCACTAGATTAGATGTACTATACGTATCTATACTATAAGAAGGATATGAATTTCAGAAACGCCAGTACCATAAGATGCAGACTATATATGACACCACAAACATGGATGGCGCTATCGACTTGAACTTGTAGTCCGACATTGAATACGGATGTTCGTCATATTTGGATAAACTCCAAAATTGATGCAATATTAGCTTGGTGCCTCAATGTGCACTTCACGATCCACCCTATTATAAGACACATGCTTATACCCATGATACTGGCTATAGATACATTATGTACTACAGACTTGTACTATATATGAGATATGTTATAGACACACTTCTTACAATATGCTACAGGCGTGCCATATGCCCAGATACATGCTAAAAATGTATACTCAACGATATACACTCAGACATGTACTATTGATACAGAATATACAGTATAGGTTGTTCCTATCGGATGCATGCTATTAGGTCGATATTAATAATTTTCATACAACGGATAGATTTATTTACTTCATATAAGAGTCTAAATCTTTATCCAAACAAAGCTAAATCATGCTTCGTTTGTTGGGGCTACCTTTTAGCATGAATAGACATTAAATGATCTGATTTGAATTATATGTCTATTCTCATCAGTAAAGCTTTTATCCATTGTTGGAGTATATAAGAAGAGTCATCTATCTGGCCAGTAGAGATTCATCTTTTTACTTTTCATCGGTCAGTTTGATAAATATACCTTTATCAAGTTGATTTTCTTGTTTTTATATATTCTTTTTTCCGTGAATTTTAGACTTAACAAAGCCTCTAATTCCGCAATTACACTTGATGGAAACGAAATCAGTAAGCATCATCCAGTGCAAGTATTCTAGTGTCTTTGTATTACCAATATGCTTGCCAGCTCTGCTTACGTATCGTCTCCTTCACCAGCAACTTCTAAAAGTTACCACTGAATTCATGCAGCTATGCTACATAGAAACTTGGCGAATGTATTTTTAGATGGAGATCTACGGTACATCGCCTCCAGTTTGTTTTTTCTTCTTTTTCGTCAATCGAAAATTGCCATTTATTACAACCCAAAAGGTTTTACCATTCTAAAAGAAAGTCTTCATCAGTAATTGCTAACATGAGAGACTTTGAAAAGCGACGAACAACAATAGCGTGACAGTATAAGAAGGGCTTGAATAGTCGAACTGCAGTAAAATTTCGGCCTGAATACAGTATTTCTGTTCTAAACGATTATCAAAAGTGGCACGCTGATCCGATAAACATCTCGTTCAATCTAAGCAAGTTCTTATATTCAGTAGTGCATACTACTAATAGTAATGCTCAAATTTCGAATTACCAGTGGTACTATACTTCAGAATTAAAATATAAGCGTCCACTACTTAGAATTTGGGCTCCCTCCAGTATAGAACATTTGGATTATCAAGTGAAACTATAGCCTACTAATACTTACTCATTTGGCAGCATAACATACTGTGCCTTAGTTTTAGGACAAACTTTGTTCAAATCTAGTCATTTTCAAGCACGAATAACTTATGCCATAAAGCGTTTTGGGCGCTTGGAATAGCACCACACGCCTCCCCTTGGCCACGCTTTTCTTCCTGATGCTTTACCTCAATTTTTTTGGGTCACTGCAAATTCATGAAAATCATCCTTTTTACATGAGTACTAGCAAGGGAAACTTCTTGAAAATCAAACAATCGCGTTTTTCACCCCAAAAATGAAGACTTTTCCTATGATACATATCAGTACAAATTGATCGTAAAGATAAAATGCAACACTGGAAACTCTTTCTATGAGACTTGCGTACACTAATTTTTGACATAATCACAGAAAACCTGTTTTTATGTTTTTGCAAATTACTCATTATTTTCGGTTTTATAGCTGGATGTAATCAGCACCATTCGATACGGCTTTTTTAGTTCTCTAGAGATGTATTAGAAAGTTTGGTGTTATAACGACAATTTTCATAGTAAAATTTAGCAAAAACGTTCGACGGATGTGAACTCAATTCAAGTTTGAACATGAAAATGCCACTGCACAATTTCAAATTATATTGCCGCTATTAAGACAGCTACGGTACAAGACCGAGACTAAATCTACTGGTCGTGACGTCGGATAGGGTGCTCTCTCATTTTTCCATACCCTCCTTTTTGCAAAAAGCGCTTAGCATCAAACCATGGTCGTTTTGGACATTGTTTGATTAATAATAACACTCTAACATCTGATAACTCTGACTTGTACTGTTGGAATAACTTGATACTGCTTTTTTGATGTGGAATATGCTAGGTACCATTCGATAACGAGCACTGGGAGGCGTAGAAGTAACACTAATTGAGTTTGTTTATTAGGTTTTAATAATAATTTTTTGCTTCTTGTTTGAGTGAGTACTGCTGCCATTACTTCTCTGCCATCTCTGCTGCCTACTTCTTTGGTCTTTATCTGGTCTCTGCTGGTGGCGTTCGTACTTTGGTTTGCCTATGGTGCTGGTGTTGCTGCTACTGCTACTGCTAATATGGTCTTTTCTGGTCTACTGTATTTGGTGCATGCTCTTTCTCTGCTGTCACTCGTTCTCTGGTCTATCTACGGTGATGGTAAGTGGTAAGTATCTTTTTTCTTCTGGTCGCAATGATATAAAACGTCTTTGAACGTTTGTATTATTGCTTCCTTTCTCATGATAATGCATTCATGATGTTCTCTTTGTTGCGTTTTTCTTCTTCTTTTGTTGGTTGTGTTGCTTTACATCCGACTATTACCATGCATGTTGCTCATGTATGGGTTTTTGTTGCAACAACAACGAGCTGTTCTGAACATCTCTGATGTTGTATTTGTTATACTTTTCTTTGACTCACTTTGCGTGAGCATCCCTTTTTTGCCTACGTACTACTCTACTCCTATAGTAACTACCTCTTTACGTTGTGTGGATGTGCCTATCCCTGAAGCTCAACAAGACTCTATCCGAGGCTAGGAGGTAGATAGGCTGCCTCCACTTGGTTATCACTACTTACTTTAGTGATGATTGAGGGTCTCTATGCCTGAATTTAAAGCTAGGTGGTGTAAGTAAGGCATGCTCTAGCACCTGGGGGAAGTTTGATGATAGCAGCGGCTATATTGCTATTATAGCGGCGCTTAAAATTTTGCCTCACATCAAAACAGGGGGAAACCCTCGCAAATTTTTTTTAGGTCAGCGGAGTTTTCAAGCAATATGATTGGCTCAGAGGTTGAGACAGCGATAGGAAATTGATTGTTCGTATCTGTTGATTACCCAGATTTTTTTCATGAATAGAGCAACGATCCACTGGCATATAATTACCTAGTTTTACCATAGCTGCTCCAATGCTATTATATAATAATGTTATAAAATATAACGACTTAAAAAGACTTCTTGAAATGATAGAATAAAATAATCAAAATACTCAACAAAGTAACATTGCTCAAAACGAAGCATGACTCAAGACATATATGCATAGCACCTCTGCTGTGTTTACAATAAATTATTCTGTCGTATAATAATATACTTGATATGCTAAATTGCGAATTCTGGTGAAGGGTAACGGTTAGCTGGAGTTATAATCTAATCTTTTTCTGATCATTTGAATTCTGTGTTCCTCAATAATTTTCACATGTTGTGCTGTATTCACATATAAGATTGTACCCAAATCACAATATTGTAGATTGAATGCAGTGATACATTATGCAGATATGAAACAGATGTTAATAAAATCAATCAGCACGTAAACGATTACCATGATATTCACATACGCAAAGTTCCAGTAAGCTAATCTTTGTATGTCAAAGAATAATAGCAGACAAGGAATGTAAAAAATCAATGTTATCGAGAGGAATATAGATATCTTTAACATAAGTGAAGATCGATACTAAAATTTAGCAGGAGGTCATCATTCTATACAGATGTATAAATAATCCATACATTATACATATAAATAACAGTAGACATTCAACACCACTGTCCTAAACTAAAAGATGTAATTAATGAAACCAGGTATATATTGGATGATTACACATCAAAAGAACAACAAATGCGGCCTTATTGATCTTTTCTGCTTCCTTCCACTTTTGAATCTGATTATTTGTCAACGTATTGGTATCCTTTAGATATTGCTTCACAGGTGATGCCAGGACATCGGTTTGACCTCTGTTCAAAGAAACGGATATTTGATTGTTTCGGTGTTGTTGTACTTACGTATGATGTCTTTAAGTATATTATAATCCAATTAACTGTCATCGGTAATGAGTATTTTGGTAATCTTGCATTGAATTGCAAAGTGTGTTGACAAGATTACAGGCAATACCAGGTGCTTCAAAAGGTCTGATATGATGGCGCGTAAGCTCTTGTTTGCAAGCGAGAGCTGCTGAAGATCTTAAAAGTCCAATAATCACAAATTATGGTGAAGCTTTCTTGAGGCTGTGAGTACAGCTTTCTGCTGCAAGCAAGCTTAGCGATGCTTAGCCTTTTCTGAGCGAGGGGCTTCAACAGAAACGTAGGTGCAATAAGGTCTAAATCCACTTCTTAGGATAGGCTATGGCTAACGAAGAAGAGCAGATAATGAAAAAAAGGCTCACCAAATTTAAATTAGACCACGATCTGCGATTTTCATAGCTCTGTCGTTGTTGCACCATATCCACCTCTAGAAGAGATTGACTAATCCAAGGTGGTATTGCAAAATTTGAAAATAAAAAGACGCTCAAAAGACAAGCTTGATAATGTATCTGAGCACTGGAAACTGCACATTCACCTCGAAGCAAGAGCCCATCCTAATCATCATCGGCCATCGAGCTTTCGCCCATTGTAGCTGACAGCGAGGTTTGTGCAAGCTGGAAAGATGTTTTTTAATGTTTAGTTTGGCATCAAATCATTACAGGTGAAAGCTACCATTCTAATGGCTAGATTTATGCTCCAAAATGCTATAAATTATGCCATCACGTATACAGTGTATTGTGGAAGCGAGTAATAAAGTCATCGAATACAAGTGGTCATGACACATTGGTACGCAAAATTAACACAACTCAAGTGCCTATTACAGAAGGCGTTGCCAAGCCTTGACAAACAGGCATTAATACACTCATAAAAACAACACCCCGAATAAGACATGTTGCCCTACGCATTAATTTGCCCGGCCCCAAGGTCTAGTTACCGCTTTCCTATTTCATTATCACTGCCATTACCAATTTATTAATGCCCTTCTCCGCTTTCCATCAATAACCACTCTCTTTTTACTTTCATTATTGCGAAATGTTGGAATCTATTCCCGGCAAAGTCTTTGTTGTGGGTGTAGTGCTACTCATTGCATTCGTATCTTATTCATCGCAACTGGTGTTGTTTATACCTGCGTATGGCGGATGGAACTACACAAGCCTCACCACGCTGTTACCTTTAAACCTGCTAGTAGGCATGGTGTTTTACAACTACTATCTCTCAGTAACCACAGATCCTGGAAAGATACCCGTACATTGGGTAAGTTTATAATAGCTTGCTATTTACGGCACGAAATTTAGCATGTTTTGGTATTCAGGAACCACCATCGTCTCTCGTTGTATCAAAAGAAATCACTTCAGAAGGCATCACTGGACCAAGATACTGCAAGAGTTGCAATGTGTACAAACCACCAAGGAGCCATCACTGTCGTTATTGTGGACGCTGTGTGCTGAAAATGGATCACCATTGCCCTTGGATAGACAATTGCGTTGGATACGATAACTACGGCCACTTCATGCGTTTCATCATTTACGCAGACATCGCCTGTTCGTATGTGATACTGCTGCTGATTGGGAGAGTGAGAGCCATCATGGATGCAATTCGACATTTTCAAGTATGTGTTAAGCTCGTTGTCATTTTCATTGTACTTACACAATGATCTATAGTTCGATGCGGAGCCAGACACAACGCAAATCGTATTCATGGTGCTCAATTTCGTGCTCGCTTTTATTGTCGTTTTTTGTGTTGGCATCTTGACATGCTACCAACTCTATTGCATGTCAAAAAATCAAACAAATATCGAATCTTGGGAGAGGGGAAAAGTGGAGGGACTTGTCAAGCGAGGAAAGATTCCACCCGTAAGTTTGACATGCCACAGATATATGGCTACTTTTGGTAACCTGAAAACTTTTGTAGGTCAACTACCCCTTTGATATTGGATTTTACAGGAATTTATGCGAAGTATTTGGTCAAAATCCATTGACATGGCTATGGCCCAAGAAAATGCAGGGTGATGGGTTATCTTTTCCGGTTACGCCAGAGACAGATCCTCGTTTGCCTTACTACTGGCCGCCAAGAGACCCAGATGATCTTCGTCCCTCCATATTTTCATCTCGATACAAAAGACGACTGGAAGCCCAACGACTGTTGGCGGAGGATCCCGATGCAGTGTTGGAAGAATCAGACGGATATTACGATTCTGGGAGTTTTGTGAGTGACAGCGAAGCCGAGTATTCGATCGAAGATGAAGAGGAGGGCATGCGGCATTTGGTGAACAATCGTCTATACGATTTATCAGGCACTTACTTTGATGATACCCCACCTACAGGCCAGCATAGACGCAACACCCATGGACCAGCCATGGATGATAGTCTCAGCAGTGACAGTGATACAATCCCGCTGTCCACATTTGCCTCCAAGAAAAAGATTCCCTCTTCAAAAGAAGATTAGCCTATAATCCATTGAATTGTCTAGCAAAATGGAAATTCACTCTATTTTATTGTAATTTTTTCCTGAATATTGTTGTATCAATGGTCTGAATAAATCAATTGCATGTATATATAACATTTTTTGTGCTTTGTTACTATGTATAAAAAGTGGTGGTGTAATAAGTATAATAAATATAATTGTATGTATAAATGTGTTTATCCAGTCAAAACATCAACCAACACTGTCCAAGCACCAGCGACACCAGCACACACAGCAGCAGAGATGCCTGCAACTCGAGGGCCAGCTGTACACTTGAAGATGGCACCAGAAATAGCACCAGCAGCTAAACTGTTGAAGACATCATGGGTGCCTCTTGAATAGTCGATCAATGAATTGGTACCATTGTAAATCATAGCAATCACGCCAACTGCATTACCCACACCAGGGCCTCTGCGTGTGATTGAGTTGAGAGTAGTATTTAAACGCACTCTAGGAGCACCAGAGCTCTTTTTGAGACCCTCCATCATACCGTAAGCACCACCCAAAGTCAACCCTGCCAAGTAAGTGGTACCTGTACCGTAACAAAGATCGTCAGACCAACCACGAGAAGGTGCCAAACCACTAGATGTGCCAACAGGAGCATCTTCTACTTGTAGAAAGTCAAGGCCCTGCAAAGACATGGGTTGAAGTCTATTGGCGTCAAGAGCAATACTTGACATGAAGTCGGGCATCTTTTCATAGCCACTGTCGTCCCCAGCATTGAATGAAGTCTCTTCAAAAGAATTAGATGTAGGTGAATACAAGTCATCGGCGTCTTGTTGAGGTTGTTCTGCGGTAGGCACAGTGCTTGATCCAAAGCCAAAGATTCCCATTTTACCTTTTGTTTTTTTTTTGTTGTAGTGCGGGGGTAAAAGAGAAAGGGTTAGTCCACAAGTGGGTAAAACGCTTGTATACCAAACTGATCTATTTTGTATTTCCGAAGAAAGCTTCAACTCAACTCCAATCAAAATTGACATGGCATTTACATACACTTGATTTGTCCATGGCGAGTATCTTTGAGACTTACTTGCGGGGTGGTGCTGTCATGGAAGAGAGGCATCAGGCAGAATGTCAGAGCCTCGATTATATATCGCATGGAGATGAACTGGGGCACATGCATTGAATCAACCGGTTGTTCAGCGAGAAACATCACAAAGCCACCGAAGCAGCTATTAGACTAGAAATATGCCTCCTTTGATTATGATCTTGAACGTTTTAGATCAGATATTTGCTTGACTCACTGCATCAGACCATAGCAAACTCATGTCGGAGGGCCACGAAAGCACTCGATGGGACATGCTATCCTGTGTAATGATGTTTACGATATGATTTTATCAGTTCGCCATCTTAGATGAGGGCTTCTAAGTTATACTTGTATCAAAGACCACTACATCTGCACTATAAACGACCCGAACGATACTCCCATGTCTATATCAGTGAGAACAATTCATATACCGGCATACAGCATACTTTCGTTGCCCCTTGTCACTCAAAACTATGCAAAACACAGCAAAATTTGAACGCATTTGAGCCGCATTTTCTCGCCTTATACGTCGTTTTGGGATGCCAGAATAGCACCAAACAGTTGCTCTCGCCTGGCACTTGCTTACTGACACTTTTGCTCAATTTTTTTTAGAGTCTAAAAAGCATCACGCAAAACCATGAGGAGCACCTCATGGATTTCTTTGAAAATCAAACAATCGCGTTTTTGACCGCAAAAATGAAAACTTTTACTATAACATATGAACCCTTCGACACTTTAGGTGGTTTCCTGACCTATGCTTCGCTTCGGTGAGAACCAACCTGCGCAACGGCAGCTCGCGCTACCGATTGCTCTTGCGTATCTTATCAAAATACTGCTACTTTCATTTTGACCCTCCACTTACACATAAAAGCCCTTTATGTTATCTTTAGATCTGATTCTTCTATGATACTCTACATCCATATATACGCAGATACTTCATATACGGGCAAGTATCATACAGATATTATCCCTTTTTAGTCAAGGGTATGCCTAATACAGAAAAATCTGGGCGCATTTGAGTTGCGTTTTCTTGCGTTCAAGACCGTTTTAGATGGTCAGAATAGTGCCAAACAATTGCACTCATCCAGTAGTTACTTTCTGACACCTTTGCTCAACTTTTTGGGGATCAAAAAAAACATGGACAAAATTCGACCGAAAAGCATGAGGTACCCCTCATGGTTTTCATCGAAAATAAATCAGCTCTTTTCGTTCGACGCCTGAGGAACGTCGAAGATGACAAATGTACCCTCTGCAATGATACTGAAGATGCCAAACATCTCATGGTTAGCTGCCCCCCACAAAAACGACATTTGGTCCGATATCTTTGAACAATTCCTGGGATACCCCAAAGCTGCTAATCCACAGCAAGTATACCAATCCATAGTCAATTTGAACCTGAAGCAATACTTCATCTACAACTTAGACATCAAGATTACAATCTTCGACCTGTTTGCTGCCACCATTCGTATGATATGGAGATTTCACCTCCTACTATCATTCGAAGGAGTGCCTTTTGATACCAACAATGTCACCAACATGATCTGTGCTGAAGTGATGAGATTGTCAGATCTCAAGCATTAATATTAGTAGTAGTTTCAATAGATTTATATATGGCAAGTCACTTTGTTACATACACTTGTCCATCATTTGATGTTCTTATTATATTCGTATATTTACTAATAAATAAGCAACATCCATACAAAAAAAAAAAAAAAAAAAAAAAAAATTCATCGAAAATCAAACGATCGCGTTTTTCACCTTGGTAATGAAGACTTTTACTATGGTATATCTTGAATCAAAATGTTTCTATCGATCCAATGCAACCCCTGAAATTATCTTTGTGGGACTTTGATATGCAAGATTTCGACATTTTGGCCAGAAACCTCTTTTCATATTTTCGTAAAGTACTCAATAAGTTTATTAAAAACATTTATCTTACTCGGTACCATTAGATGCGCCTTGAAAAGTACTTCAAGGGAGCTTAAGGAAATATTTTTTTTGTAGGGGAGACGAGCTCCAGTTTTTATTTTAAGTCCTTTAAATGTCGTTATGAGGGAAAGAAAAGACTGGATATATAGTCACGAGGATCGAATGGTAAGCAGAAATGGAAAATGTAGAAGAAGATGTATAAAAGAGTGAAAGCTAAATACTTACGCATCTAGATTTAATTCGGCATCCAAGCGAGCAAGAGAGAACGAGCAAGACGATGTTGAACGTTATCAGCGATAACCGGGGCTTGGTCAAAGATCCAGCGCCAATGCGCTTGCCAGAGTGTCAGTAGAGCGGTTGCAAAAATTTGATGTGTAGAGAGCTCATTGAAAGGAAGAGAAGTATCACGATCAAGAGGAGGGGAGGAACAAAGCAAAATTTGTTGAAGGAGAGCAATAAAATCCGCATCAAGACAGCGATGAGGAGTCAGAGAGGTAGGACAGAGATGTATGGCGCCAGACCATCAGTTTTGGTGGGCAGGAAAACAGAGCATGAGTGATATCCTCAATGACAGATAAGTAACAAATAGTGCAGAGAGAGGAAGGATGTTTTTCAGGGATTCGTAAATGTAAGAGGTCTCTGGTAGGGATCTTCGCATAGATTGCCCGATACCAAACCGTGCGAGCAGCAAGGGGAATTGATAGCGACCAAAAGGCGCGCCATTGACAAGCTTGTAGAGGTGAGCGAGAGGAGGGAGAAGAGGAAGATGTGTGGCGTAGTTTCTTGAAGAACCGGATGTTATTGAGCGGCTTAAGGGAATATCAAATAACCTTACGATTTTTATAGTCAAACCTCGTCAAATAAGTCGAACAAGTCGATTTTGAATCAACTCTGGCCAATCTTGAGTAGAAGTTGAGCGGTATTTAACTTGCCTGGATAATGGCGGAAGCAGTAATGCTTCCCATATGAAGACAATCGATGCTCGTTGAGCTGATAAGAACGGAATTACTACGATTTGGAAAGCACTGTAGCTTGGTCTGGCTACTCCAAAGTTTTTCTGTTTATTTAAATATTCAAAGGCTTCAACCGTTGCGGATTGCTCAGCCAAAGACGAATCCTTATGTATTAAAATGCAATGTTGTCATCCTCCTTTAGATTGCAAATGATTTTCGAGTGGGAGCATTTGATATATATGTTCAACATTATGTATTTAAATGCAAAGCAAAGCCAATCTGCATATATCCAAAGCTATTCAAAAACGATAAGGGATTCATCGTATACATCAGACCGCAGCACTAAAGATTTGAGACTTTCAAATGTCGAACGACATGCAAACAAACAAGTATCATAGTAGATGTCTCTAAACACTCACTCTGTGAATGATCGATTAGTAGAGAAGAGGTTTTCAACTCATTTTTAAGGGGTGAATGGGAGACCATCTTGATATGATAGAATCAAACTGACTTTGCTTTATGGATGTAGCTACTTCAATTGATAATACCAGGAGCAATCAACAAACCCTCTTCATTCTATTGAAATGCCAAGCACTGTTTCTAGATCCTATAGTGTTTTAAAGGAAAAGTGGCTATTGATTGAATCTCTACTTAGATCCAAATGCGCTGAGCCATTTTCCTCTGTGCATTTGAAATTTAATGATGATGATAGTGATGCCTGTATTTCAAATACATGAGTCGAATTCGGCTAGGTCTACATACAAATAATTGCACATGCTTGCAGATCTTTCACTGCTGTAAACAATGAAGTGGGGATATATATATATATATATAACAACATGTAAAAATAGACATGTTGATTTTGCCTAGCTTTCATTCTCCCATTGTATGATAAAGTATGATATACACCCAAATTGCACTGCATAGCCTATTCAGATGCAACGGCAGAAATATAAATCACACAAATGGACAAGCGATACTAAAAAGTTACCATACCATCATCATTATTGAACTTTTTAGCTTCTTTTTCTCTTTAGGCTATGTATAAATCAAGTTGGCATCGATCATCATGATATCAACCGACTATAAATACACACATTGTATAGATCAATTTTTTCTCAATGTGATCTCGCTCTCCTCGCAACAAAAGGTACTTTCTAATGATATGTAGATTTGGTCAATCTGCACGTGTACCTGAAGCCATTGTTTGAAAGTGCAAGAGATCTAGAAATGCCCAAATGTAAGCCAGAAAAGGCAAGTAAAAGATAATTAACACTTGTCTGGACCGGGAATTACACGGTACATTGAACGGGTTTTGTGTAATGCGTAAACAAATGTTGGAAATCTGTCAGTTCAGTCAGGAACCCAGAGATGTTAATTTGATTCATGTTCTAGCCCTTATATTACATATCGTCTCAATTACCTCGGGATTACAATTAGCATTTGATATATAAATACATGCTCGCACAGGTTGATGCAGATACACTTTTCTTCTTCTTTCTGTATATATACACCCACACAATGATGGAACGCAAAACAAAGCGAAATTCTCCTCCTCCACTTCATACAACAACAGCAGCAGTGCTAGATCATAAACCCACGGAGAGCGGGTTCGCCAAATGGTCAAAAGTGCTTCAATTGATATCACCACCAAACAAAAAGCGTAGAGCAGTGGCGTTGATTGGACAATCTTGCGAGAATAGCGATGATGAAGATCAAGATGAGAACAGTGAAAGTGACAGTGAGAGCGATGACGATGATGATCACCAAGCAATGATTGTCTTGAGGACTCAAAGACCAGATAGTATGAACAAACAGAAAATGCTGAATCGACGAGCCATGTATATACCCAATCCAGTTCAACAGCAACAATGCCATGATGGCCCAAAAGATGCATGGCACAAATGGACACTCTATCGTGCAACCTATCATAAGCTCCGCAGAAATTTGTTGCCACTTTCGGAAGGTCTTCATTTAAGGCGAATGCTGGTTCATTTGCAACAAGATGAGTCCATTCAAGATCATATTCAGCAGCACCATAAAATGTCAGCGCGTCGTAACCATAGCAACAACGATGATGAAGACAACATCCCATTGGGAACATTGCTAGAAAATAAAAAGTTAGCAACGGCAGCACCAGAGAGATGTTCATCACCACCACTACCGCCCATGATGGCAGCTCCCACTGCTGCTAAATCAAAGGCATTTTGTCAACGCATGGTAGTTGCTCGTCCACCAGCTGCTTTGAACTTGTTTTATCGACAGCCATGCTATTACTACAACAATATGCAATCATTCCCTGTACAACTTATATAATAAAAAAGGCTCATTTTGTAAATATCAATCTCCCCCCCCCCCTCAATCATCCAATTAACTGGATTTCTCTTGGCTTTTCAGTGTGTTTATCTACTGTATATAGTGTAAATAAGAAGGTTGTGCAATCACATATACGAGATCGTCAGTAGCTTGTTCTGTGTGTGTGTGTGTGTGTGTGTGTGTGCGTAAAATAACCAATTGATTACACTCATCTGCTCTGTCAGAGGATCATATAAAATTTATTATACAAAACCGAAATTAATTTTCATCCTTGTTGTTGTTAGATGTTGAGAAATCTTGGTGTTGAGGAGGAGGATGAGGAGGCGTTGCTATTGTTTGTTGTTGTTGCTGCTGCTGCTGCTGCTGATGTTGCTGAGGTGGCGAAATGGAGGAGGTCATGCCATTATTATCGTAAAATTGAGGTTGATTTGCTGCACCCGCATTACGATGAGAGGGATACATCATATACCCATTGAATTGTTGTGGCTGCAGTTGTGGTGATAGGGAGCTGGTGGCAGCAGAGAATCCACCAGCAGCAGCAGGGCTGCTGCCATACTGTGAATAATGCATTGGTTGTTGCTGCATGTATGGATATCCTTGCAACGCGCCATAACCAAAAGGTGACGCATAGGGATCTATCATAAAGCCTTGCATAACGGAAATTTTATTTTTTCCTGCTAAATCTTCATACATTGGCACACACACACATACCTCCAGCATTGTAAGGTCCTCCACCACTTGGTCCTCCTCTATTATTGTGGTTGCTACGATAGCCGTGATGACTGCAAAACATGATATCATTAGCATACTATAAACAAAGCTCGATATATGCACCACTCTTACTTGGGATAGTATTGACGCTGAGCTCTGGGATCTCCTTGCACTGATACGCCTTGAGGGCCAGTTACATTGGACGCTTGCATACCTTTTGGCCCTTGCACGAGATCATACTCGACCTATGTCACGGAAAGCACAGTCAGCGTCTGACTGAATAAGTTTTGATTTCTCTCGTTTTGCTTACCTCTTCACCCTAATACAGACAGAAAAATAGCAATGCATGAGCAACTCGTCTCACTATTTGTGCAGTAATACTTGGTTCTTCTCCATCTCGCTCTCATTTCCTTGGTTACTTACCTCTGCTAAGCTCTTGAATCCACCATCGTTATGGATTGCTGTATGATGTACAAATACTTCTAATAGACCAACTCAATGTCCCCTATCTTATCTCCCTAAAAAAACGGTGACACACTACCTTCAATAGCGTCGTTCTCCTCCTTTGCATCGGGTAAAATGAACCCAAACCCTTTTGTCGAATTGAAAAACTTGACACGACCCTTATGGCGACTCTTGTCTTCCATGTTTTTATATAGGAATATTTTTTTCCAAGCAAGAGAAATAGATGAAAAAGAAGAAAAAGAAAGAAACAAATTGCTTTGTCAAATTATCATTCTTGTACATAAGCATTGGGGTAAAATACCCACAGACCAATAGAAAGAACTATTGCAATGCACCGGGCGTCCAAAAACGACTGTGTGTAATGTGTTACTTTGTAACAGCATATTGCATGATGTAAATTTGATCTCAATTTCATTTTATTTGCCTGATAATAGACCAAACTCGACATTCAACGCCTCTAACCATTCGTCCCGTTCTTGCTTACTTCTCGCCTTGAATACCCAGCATCTGCCTCGGTTGCCTAAGCGATGTCCCAGCTTGAAAATGGACATGTACTCTCGTACGTTGGGTACAAACCGTCTTTTGGCTATCTGCCAGATCACAAAAATGCACTCAGACGTCTTGTTGCCACCAGTAACAATACCATCCTTGTAGAACCGAAGCGGCTCCACCTTTTCTTGCTCGTATTTATCCAAAATGCACTCATCTCCAGAGTAGACATAGGCGTCTTTTAACTGTAACAGCACCCTTTTCTTTTGGTACAAGAGCAGTTCCTTGCGCTGCTGCATATGTTCGCCACCATCAGAACGGCTGCCCAAACAGTTGTACAAAGCATGGCGATTATCCGGATTTTTGTGCAGTGTATCAAACATGATGAGTCCGTCGTATTCTTCGCTCTTGGTCAGCACACAATAGTGAGGCTGAAACGATCTCTTGAAATCCTGCTTGACATACAGAAACCCTGATTGCTAAAAAAAAAAAAAAAAAAAAAATGCAACTATGTCAGGCACCTCGTGGTGGATGAGTTGAGCCCCACACTTACCAAAATGCTCTTGTTCCCGTCATTGCCTCGATGATGTCGATAGGAGAGCGACGAGCTTACTAGCAGGTGCTCCATTTTAATCATGCTGCTGATAAGCGTCACCCATTGTAGCATGATTTGCGTGCTTGGCGCCTCGTAATACAAAATGGCATCTTCAATATGGATTTCAAACATGTTTGATGTAGCGTGCTGCGTGCCCTTTTGCAACATGGGCTGTACTCGCGTCACTCTGTGTAGATCCAGTAGTAGGTGTGCATTGACCAGCTTTGTGGGGTCAGGCAAAGGCACAGATTCTGGAGAGGCGTATTTGAGATGCGGTGATGATTGATTACCTAGTTCGTAAATGCGCCTCTTATTTTCCTTGGATATGATGAGTTTCCGTTGCTGCAGCAACAGACCTGTTGTCGCTGAGAACCAGTTATTTCGCTTTTTTTGCTTGGATTGTTCTTCCCGCTGTCTCTGATTTTCCTGGCGTTGTACTTGACGTTTGTAATAGTAGTAGTAAGGTCCATCAAAGAAGAACAGGTGATGGCCATATAGTACAACGTAAAAGTAGGACTTTTTGCACTTGATCTTTTGCTGGCTTTTGGTTTTCGTCCATGTCTTGTTGATCAGCAAGCTGTCAAATGTGATGATCTACAGCAGAATGGTCAATAACTCCAGTGGGACTGAGATAGTGCTCCGCTTACTCTTCGTTCCACTTTCTGTTTCTCCATTGGTTTCTCTGAAGTGTGCAATTCCAATACATGTCTCTAATTTTTGTATCAGCATATCAATAGTGTGTCCAGAGATGTGCGCTTCTACATCTCACCTGCTCAATCAGCTGCGGCCCTATCAAAACCGTGTTTTCTGCCAGCCACTCTATCCTATCACCCGAGGTAATCACAGTGCTTGTCCGTTTGTTTGATACATCAATGGGCCTCCAGCAAAGCCGAAATTCATTGCGAAACCAATCTGCTGTATGCGATAGATCATCTTTTTGCAGTAATGACCTAATGACTGGCTTGATGTCCTGAATATGGATGTTTAAAAGGGTATCTTTGGTGTGTTTCAATACATAGTCTAAGGGTAATCGGACCTGCATTGGGGTATCAATCATGACTTGAATGTCAACAAATGCTGGAATTGGTTTTTTACAAGCAGGCAATGCAGGCAGTGTATGATACAGGGCCATGTACCACTCTTGTGCCTCTGACAAGCTTGCGCTTTGGAAATGGAATGACACAATGGACTTGGTTTGATAATGTACAAATTCCAGGCACCAAATGTAATCTTGTATCGAAACGAGCGACAAGCGTACTCGTCTATAGGGGTATTTGTTGTTGAGGTAAATGACATGTGCTATTCGTTGGGTATGAAGAAAGGTGGTCTGAATGAGCATGCAATGACATTAGTTCTCAATCCAATGCACATATACACTGACATTACATACCGTCACATGGTATAATTCGATTTTATCAGGTCGCAGCACTGCCTTGAACTGCCTCCATCGCAAGCGAGTCTTTCTCAACTGTAATTCACGAGTGGTTGACTTTTTCTTTGTGTACCATTGGGCTGTTCTAGTGCAGAGTACAAGGCCTTGCTTGAGCACTCGATCCTTTTGTACATGCCGCTGTTCTTCATGGACTGGTATGACCAAGTCGTCTTTATGAACATCAGAGGGTGATGGACTGATCTGGTCTGTTGTTGCATTAGATGCTGTTTCTGTGGCTTTTGTAAACGGTGAAAGAAAACCTGATTGTGTTGACCCGTCCGATGATGCGATGACTTTTGAGCAAGAGCTGGCTGAATCTGTTGTGATGAGGGGTATAAAAGTAGGATATTCTTCTAGAGTATGAAGGGCTTGGTCAGGCATAATAAAACAAGGGGGAAACTGTCTCTCATCTCTGAAAGAAAAAGAGAGAAAGAGAGATTGGAAAAAAGCAAAATGCTCATTTTATGTATTTGGCAAATAACTTGTTTTTGAGTTTTAATCAGTGGAAACGAGAAGCTCTCAAATTGTGCTTGCTTACCTTTTATATACCAGTATATAGCATCAAATCTAGTATACAGGAAGATGGAGAGCTTTCTCGCCTTGGTTTGCTGTGATATGTGTGTTTATGCTGGCTCGTTTCTCAGCTATAACAAATATGCTTTTCTTAACCGTCATAAAAGTCTAATGATAAATGTATGTCCCTACTATGATAAAAGGGCAACACAAAAAAGCCCAATTTGGTGGATTCCTGTTCTGAAAAAATCTAATATGTGGGAGTGATCGTCATAGATTTCGTTTTTAGTCTAGCTGGTTGCTTTCATTACACAATCGAATGTCGTTGATGTTTTCTAATGTTTGGTTCAACATGTACTACTCCCAACATCTGTCGTTTTTTTTTTTATGGTCTTGGTTTTAGTTTTATCCATGTCTTAAGATGTAAAAATCACAGATTGCATTTAATGAGAAACATACATTAAAAGACTACAAAGGCTAGATGAACATAGGGTCTATATATTAAATTTTGAAAGGCTTACTACGGCATCATTGCCCTGAATAATAGGATATTAGTTGCCATCATGACGCTTGGAAGTTGAAACGAGCTCCTAATTGACATCACTGAGCACCACCCAGGCTATACAAGTAATTAGAAAAGATGAATGCGCATTTTTGGATTATAATGTATGAATGTGCCAGTCTCGATAATGAAGATCTGTCCAAAATTGTTTCTTTTTGCAAGCTAGTCCTTCTTTGGGTCATTTCTCAAGAAGTCTGACTGACAAACATCTCAAATAAATACTAAATTGAATGCTATTCTCATTTAATCAAGTTCTATTGATCTGGCCCGATCTTTGCTATCCTTATCGAGCTATAAAAATCCCACATACCCGAAAGTTTGGTATCAAATCTGGCCATTCAAACACATGTCATGACCCTGCAAGCATAAACTATGTAATCGATACTGAATAGATGTATCAAATAAATATTGCAAACATCTTATAGACCTTCAAATGTACCATCACAACGAGCAGAGCTCAATTCAGGTTCAAATCAGGTAGCAACATGCTGCATGAAGGCATCATAAGACCACGTCACTCTCCCATTATAAAGCGTGAGCTTCTTCTATCCATCTTTTCGAGCAATAATATTGTTCTTTTCATTCATTTTTATATTTGCTCAACGCATGTCAAGAGCTGTAATCAATTCAGTTAGTATTTGAATTCATTCAACCGTTGTATAAACGTTAATCTAATTATTGCTTGTCTTGAAATGTAGGGACAAGTTCTCGCTGACATAGCTGGGAAATATGAAGATAAACAAGACTGGCATAATGCTCTTGAGGCGCATAAAAAAGCGGCAGGTATGGAATGTAACTTGACAAGCAAGACGATCTGTATAACTAATGTCTTTTTCTACGACAAACAGCTCACTATGAACGAGCCATGTCGAACGATCACGACGCCTTGGTAAGATAAATTCATTGCGTAGCAATGTTCATCACTAGTGGATATTAATTAGAGAATCAACAAACAGACTCGGCAGACGCTGAACAGCATGAGATTATCGCACGAAGAAAGGATAAAAGCTATTTCTGCAAAGCTGAACCAGCCGTCAGAGAATTTATTTGATATGAGAAAATTAGAGCAAGAACTTTTCGCAATACAGAGAGGAGGAACCGTTGGAGATCCATCAGCACCAGTGCCGTCTCTGGAGGACGAAGAAGATGAGGACGATGTGGATCCATTCAATCGCTTCTGGGGCGTGGTGGAGCCACTGGTCAATAAGCTTTCACAGACACCATCACCGCCATCAACATCACCACGGCAACCACCAGTAATGTCGGATACAGCTTTTGACGAAGCCGAAACAGATCGAATACAGCAAGAAATGTCGCTTATTGATGATTCGTTCTTTACTTGCCCGACAAAAGCACATCAAAATCTGAAAAACTATACCCAATCTGACCAGAATCCAGTAACATTGATGCTAAATCCAGATGATAACCCTGAGGAAGAGAACAAAACCCTGAAAGCTCAAATTGCAGATATCAAAAACGAAATTCGGAGTCTGCAGCAGGTAAACATCCATGCCATAGCCACTGTGTGCATGCCTACATACTGATGTATGCTTGGTTCAATTGGGTAGAGATCTGTGGATAGCACTGTCCTAAAGAGCAGTATCATTCAGTTCAAGAAAGACGTTCACAAGCAAGCATTACGAGTGCTTCAAACACAAGAATCTGCCATGATGACACGATCAGCCATGACCACAGGTTCTTCGCCATCCAGAAATGTTCGACATGTAGGAACGAGCACTGCAGAGATCGTGAATCGGATTCGAGAGTTAGAGGAAGCAAACAAGGTTCTGAGGTCGCAGAATAGAAAGCAAGACGCATTGATGAACAAATACAGAGAGAGATGGGAAAAGCTAAAAGAGGGTGCGAAAAAGAGACAGCCTTCATCGTCAGAAGCAGCAGCGTCTAATGGAGCCCCAGTATCTTTAACAGAATCATCAACGGTTAGAGGATCAACTCTATTAAGCAACTTGGCATCCGCTAATCCACCCATCACTGCCAATTTATCGGCGTCAGCAGCATCAACAGCATCGCCTGTCACTAGAAAAGCTTCAATTTGACAAGCTGCACTTACAAGGAATTGATACCATATACAAATAAACTATAGCATCATTGTTGCTATATTATACGATAGGATATTGCGAGAAATGCCGTAAAGCAAGTGAACAACATGAGCTAAGGATGATGTGCCAAACAGCCTCAGATTGACAAGTCATAGTAAGGTTACATGCATCATACGCTGTTTGACAAAGAACAGACATGCTTAATAGCATGAGACCCTCAGCCATGTATACCTCGATATCTGATTCAAGGATTTGCCACACTATTTCTCAACTGAACTGCGCCATTAGAATACGACAAGCTGGAGACCATTCCATGAAATACGTTTAGTATTATAGTTCTGAAGAGGTTATTTTTATATTAATTATTGTGCCGATTGAATGCTAAAATACCTCTTTTTCGATTTTGTTTCAGCCAGAATAGAAAGGGGTGGTCAAAAGAGATTTGTTATAGCATCATAGTTACCATAAGCATCCTTTTTTTTCTTTTTTTTTTTTTTCTACGAGATCCCTTTGACGGATGTAGATTAATATACTTTTGAGTTAATTTGATGGATACTGTAAAAGGAATCATATTATCATATAGTTCCTATCTCGAGCCTCTTGATGTTGCACTCCAAATACTCTAAATGAAATTAGATCTCTGTGTTTCAAACAGCCAAGCATTTAGGAACATTTGAATGCCAAGTCGATTTAATTAGAAATATCGAAATCAAAAAAACGAATATTTTATTGTAAACAATCAATAGTATAATAGTAAGAATAGCTGCAGTAATAAGCGGGCGCAGAGAGTGAGAGTGAGGTTGTGTGTACATGAGAGGAAAAGAGGTTCAGGGTATTAAAGATATTTGCAAAAGAAAATAAGAAAGCTGGTTTTGTTTGTATTACAGTCCATACAAGTAAGTTGCGTATATAACCAATGCTGCGCCCAGTAAAAATGATCCAGAGAAGGTAAAGTTGAAAAGCCACACACTAACAACGGATGACAAGATGATACTAATACTAGTGGCAAACCCTTTCAAGATGTTATCGGCATATTTCACAACAAGTGCCACGATTAATCCTCCCACGGCTTGAATAGCGATCACGGTCCAGGTGAGAGGTGTATAGTTGACAAAAAATCCGCGTTCAACAATAGTTGTGCCATCTTGCAACATGACAACGAACACTAAGCCCAATAACACGGAGAAAAATGACATTTGAATATTGCGAATCCAGATCTGATTGCTAGCAGCAAGTGATTCATCGTCCATATTGTCCTCCTCTTGTACAACGACCTTTTTGTTTTCATCATCATCATCAGACCAATCCTCAGTGTTGTTAGTATTGTTGCTCACAGCCGCAGGTTTGGGTGCAGGTGCCTTGAGAATCTTTTCGAAATACACGCCAGCCAAGCCAGATAGCATACAGGCAGTCAAGACAGCAACAAAACCTTGTAAATTAGATTGGTTACCAATGGCAGTTGTCTCGGCTGTTGAGTCTGTGATGGTGGTGTTTCCAGTAATGTAGGCAATGACAGCAGTAGATGCTCCTTTGGGAAGCACGACAAGCGCAATGCCCACCGTCAATAGTGCCAACGCAATCCACTTTAGTTTTGAGAGGTTCTTTTTGAGGATCAATACACTGAAGAAAGCTGTAGTCAAGATCTTGAGCTGATAAGTAACTTGAAATGTAGCCGCATCGAGATTGGAAGCTGCAACATATTGGAGATTGTTCTATACACGGCAATTTAGTCATCCTGATCCCCGCCCCCCCAGCTAATGTACTCTACAACACTTACTTGAATAAGATACAAGGCGGCAGGAAATGCTAATTTGGCTGTCTCTCTCCAATTCAAGATGAGTTCACGATTCAGCAGGCTGGTCAATCGTTTCAGGGAGCGTTTGCGAGATTCGGGAGCTAGATATAGTACAACAAGACAGACGATGGATTTGATCACTTCGCTCATCACCACAGCAGTAGATGCTAAGTACAGTTTGTCCTCTTCCACATTGGCTCTTGTATAGCGCATGACCAGAATAAGTGCACTGTTTTGCACCACAAGGATGATCAAGGAGAGATATTTGATGGGTATACCGTTGCATAACTTGATTAAGCCTAGAGGAAGGATGTTAAGTCAACCGCATGCCGCAATTATGTAAACTGATGTTTTACCCATATTTGACGATTTAATAAAATGAGGAAAGAAAGAGAGGAAAGAAAAGGATCAATTCATGTCGAATTCCTCTCCCCCCCGCGCCCCCCCTCAATTAAATACTCCAAAAAATTTCGCACCTCAGCCCGGGCAAAAAGGAACCAGCCATGATGTGCTTTTTTTATAGCATGTGTTGTGTCACCCACAAGGAGTATATATAGAATTTACGATTTATTCATCTTTATAAGGTGAAGGATGTTGTTCCCTAAGAGCTTCAAACGCATTATGGTAGGCTGCTATCATATGGTCTTCAATACAAGTTTTTGTCAATTTCATCTCGTTGGATATCTGGTGATCAGAGTAATGCAGACTGTAGGATGTCTTGCTGGTGCCAGGAATGTTGTGTCTGGATAAGACCTCGCCTACTGCTGCAGTGGATCCTCTTCGTTCTTTGGCATGTGCGTCTTGTTGCTGCTGCTGCTGGGGTTCCTCTTCAGATTTGCTGGCAAAGCGAGTTTCCTTTGATCGTTTGATTTGGATAATTTTGCCTGGTATATACAACTACAGATTTGCCATTTTAGCCTGCTGCCATCTTGGATACTATCTCTGTTTCAAACAACATCAACTTACTGATGGATACATTGAATCTGCGACATTGTTCAACTTGTCTCTACGTTGAGCAATGATATCAAAACATACTTTGCGGGCTTTTGGATCCGTCATGGTCTATAAAATACAGGCATGAAGTTGTCAAAACATGTGCCTGATGCCGTTTATATTTACCTTTCTAAAACCTCCTAAAGTGCCATAAGCACTTATCATGTCCAACACCAGCTCCTTTAGCTTCATGGCTGTGCCATACGAGAGTCGCCCCACTACATCATCTTGACACACAACACTGTGAATGTACTCTTCATATTTCTTGCATAGATCCGGCGAGCTGACTGCAGAGGGTGCGTAATTGTAGCAATGCATCTCAAAGTTGGGATTTCCAGCAAGGTCTCTCAATTCGTCAATATGATCTGCCACCATCATGGTCAATAAAGAGGCTGTCCCGCCACCTAAGCTGTGTCCAGTAATGATGAAGCGGTCCAATTCGTCGCCATGGTGATAAATGTAACGGAATATTTGTGGTATAATGCTCGTGTAAAACCATTGAGCAGATGCTAGCATGCCTGAATGGACAAGGCCACCCTTCCACGGCCTGTACTCACACACAAGATCTGTAATGGCGTCATATAAACTCCAGGTGCCGCGAATACTTAGCACAATGGCTCTACGTGGTCTGTCAAGAGCAACGTAATAACTTGGCTGGAACGACGCTCCTTTACGCAGGGCATATTCATAACCTAACAAATCTTCAGGGTGCAGATGTAAATACCGGATAATTGCGAGCCGATTGGATCTTCTATCACGAGCACCGCGTACGTATTGTCCATACATGCCTAAATAACAGAGACCACGCCACCCATAAGCCATCAATGCAAATGAAAAGTAGTGGCACGCATAGTCAATGAGATAGCTGTCTGTCACTGGCTTTTGCAGTGGTGGTCGAGGCAAGGATTCATAGAACTTTTGGATCAACAAGGCGGCCTTCAGTAGTTTGATACCGGTAACACGAAACCCTTGACCAAACGAGTTGGCTGTCTTGATGATGGCGCGCACCATGGCTTGTGTTTGTTTGCTCACTACAAGCCCAATCAACTTGTCCACCACTGGATGGGATAATGCCACATCTTCAAAAGAGTCCTGCATCCACTGTGTAGCAAAGTCTCTATCCCCAAAGTTCACGCTGTCGATAATGTGTTGAGCCTTCTTCTTTGCACCATGTGCCAATCGATCTGTTACGGGTGCTGATGAAGACAGGGTCGACGCCATTGAAGATGATGTGTCTGTGCTTTCATCATCAGGGTTGAATTTGTGGCTGTCGTCTGAATCGTTTTGTGAGAAGCCATAGCGCCTACCACGAGATGAATTTGGCAGCTTCTTGGCTGGCGTAATCAAGTGCTTTATCCACTGCAACTGGATTCCATGTTGGTGATGGCCACGAGTGCGGCGATGGATGCTGCTACTGGAGGATTTTGGAGTAAATGAGGATGAGACGGAGAAGCCTCTGGGTGTGTAGTGAAAACGCCTTTCCCACTTGCTTTTCCTGCTGTCAGATAAATGCGATGCCAGGCTGGATTCGGATGATTCTGGTATATGGGCTGTCATAATGGTTGACAATCGATTCTTGAATAAATCATCTACGTATCCTTCTTCCTGTGCTAGATCGCCTCTACCGTATGAAGTCCGTCTGCTGGAAACTCGAGTAGCTGAATGCGTTGAGAGATAGCTAGTAGCAGAGGCATTTGTCGTGGCCACTGATAATGGATGAAAGACATCCTCTGGTGCGTACAATGTATTGTGCTGTTGATGGTCATCATTCTCAACCTTCTTGCCTGGTAGTATTTTTTTGTTTGGCATTTGCTCATCTGTTGTGATGGGCTGTTGAAAATGGTACCTGATGCGAATCTGCACGGATCCTATCAGATTTAAATCGCCTGTTTTCTTGGATACAATGGTGGGATCTAGTATGTCGGTTTCTAAGAGTGTCGGCTGCACATCGGATGGCAAGAGTCGCTTTGAGCGATACTCATAGATGGGTAGAAACCTACTTGCAGCGTGAGTAAGCAGCATATGGGATGGATTCGCACAACATACGTTACAAACACATCAGTCTTGCCTCCAAGCGTTGAAATCTTGAGCTTTGCTTTGCCAATATGCTTGGTCGTTGGCCAATGTTTGTGCGGTTTATCGTACAAGTCAAACTATCAAAGAATGTCAATGCGAGCAATAATGCAGAAACCCAAAAGCCCTTATTACCTCGATTGTATTAAATAACTGAGCATGATACGACACCACAAATATGAACCCTTCGTTCCAATCGCCAGTGCTCGTATCTGATCTTTTGGAATAGTACTGAGCAGGGCCCATCTTGAGTCGTATCTGAGGCCGCTTTATTTTGCTGTCAAGTCTAATATTCAGCAAGTCAATCTGTGTAGAATATCAGCATAATTTTCACGACACATTCCGCCGTTCCAATGCTCACCTGCATCTTTGTGTCTATGATTCTATTCTCTGCTGTCGCATCTGATCTCTGATACGACTCCCATTCTCGGCTCAATTTGTGCAAGTCAGGGACTGAAAGACTTCTAGTGTGTTGCTCGTCTAACCAGCTGTTGAATTGAGTTGGCTTGCGTTTGATTAAAAAAGATGCATGTCTCGATAAGAGGGGCGCGGTACGTAATGTACTCTTATCAGATTCACAAGTAGACATAGAAATAGCTGCTATTCATTCACTTGTGCCAGTTGTTGGTCATATAAAAACTATACTCTTTGAAAGAAAGAAACACTTTTTGCCTAAATGTCGGTGAGACATGCTGCTTTATAGCCTAAAACCAATAGCCTTTTGTTCATCGCTTGCTGGATAAGCATTTGAAACTCCATGCAGTGATGGCTTTACTGTTCTCCCCCCGAGGCATTTCTGTTTCCCCGAATGTGGGAACTAACATGAGGCGACAAACTAAACTTTAAATGAAATATGTAATTGAGTGGTTATTGCACCCCTGATCATTGTAATGCTTATTGAGGGTATTGCTCTACTTTTTAGTTGTATTATCGATGAGTACGGTATTGGTTTGTTGAGAAGCTGTATCGACAGGAGGTAGTGGTGGCCCTCACATTTGAATTAAGTGACATTGCCCAAGAGCCTCTAGTTTATACTCTGCATCGTGTGCAATACTACGATTGTTATGCGTAGGGGCCATTGAGTTAGAGCTATACAAGTAAAACATTTGTCTATATCACTGAAGCTTATGCTCGTAAAACGAAATTTTGAATAGGGCGGATAATTTTACATTTTGAATTAAGATTTGCATTTGAAGAAGCAACCTGCAATCATTATACCTATCAAACCTATGGTTACGCATTGAAAACAATAGAATGGCTGGGCTAAGCTATAGCACCTCTCAATTCACAAACCCCTTCTAATAGACTTCCAACCGCATCGATCGCCCTCACAGTAAGCACGGTATGCTTCTTCATCAAAATTAATTTAAAATCAGATTAAAGCCTTGCTCAAGATTGGACAGATTTTGATATTTTTGGACATAATTCGATCTACTTTTGCTAGATTCGACTATGTATTTTGCAATAATCACCCTGTACTTCCTAATGCATGCTGGTAGTACGTTTTGGGGCGAATCTAATGGTTTTGATTGTAAGAGAATTTTTAAATGAGCATACTGAGCAATGACAGAAAATAGGAAATGACGATTTAGGCAAAAACGTAGAGAATTTATATATCAAGGCCTCACAAAAGTGCACTCAGCGGTTGCTTTAGATTGAGAGAAACATTTTGACTTAATAATATGCCTTAGTAGAATTCCACGTTTTTATGGTCAAAAACGCAATCGTTTAGTTTTCATTGAAAACTATGAGGGGTACCCCTCATGGTTTTGGGTGGATTTTCGCCAATCCCAAAAAAGTTGAGGAAAAGCGTCAGAAAGGTAGTGCTGGCTGAAAGCAACCGTTTGGTGCTTTTCTGGTAGTCCAACACTGCGAATAATGAGAGGAATTGCTGCTCAAGTACATCCAAGTTTCACTGTGTTTTGCCGATCCTCGAGTAGTAAGAGCTAGTATGGCTATGCTATCTGCCCGTATATGATTTATTTCTATAATTGCAGATGTGGAGCTTTTTAGAAGAGTCAGATCCACAGCTTCAAGTCAGCTACAAAGACTTTTCACATAATGACAATTACCTAAAAGTGAGATTTCAGGGTACATCGGTAGGATGACAAGTCTAATTTCAACAACTGAAAGGCAGGCCATTAACTCTTTATCGTGGGACAATGTATGCTCATATGGATCGACGCCCTTTTATTATTTTTACGAACCTTCCGACACTTTGGGTGGTTTCCTGACCTACACTTTGCTTCGGTGGAAGCCAACCTACGTTCAAACGGCTCGCGCTGTCGCGGGCCTTTGGCTAATATTGCAAAATATATATAGCTAAAATTTTAGAAGAACCTTGATTATTGATTGATATAAAATCACTAACCATATGAGTGTTTATGCTTCGGATGACTCTCTACTTTTGCTTCGCTTCGGTGAGAACCAACCTGCGCAGCGGCAGCTCGCGCTACCTATTGCTCTTGCGTATCTTATCAAAATACTGCTACTTTCATTTTGACCTTCCACTTAAACATAAAAGCCCTTTATGTTATCTTTAGATCTGATTCTTCTATGATGCTCTACATCCATATATACGCAGATACTTCATATACGGGCAAGTATCATACAGATATTATCCCTTTTTAGTCAAGGGTATGCCTAATACAGAAAAATCTGGGCGCATTTGAGTTGCGTTTTCTTGCGTTCAAGACCGTTTTAGGTGGTCAGAATAGTGCCAAACAAGTGCACTCATCCAGTAGTTACTTTCTGACACCTTTGCTCAACTTTTTGGGGATCAAAAAAAAACATGGACAAAATTCGACCGAAAAGCATGAGGTACCCCTCATGGTTTTCACCAAAAATCAAACGATCGCGTTTTTTACCTTGATAATGAAGACTTTTACTATGGCAAATATTGAGTCAAAATGTTTCTATCGATCCAATGCAACCCCTGAAATCATCTTTGTAGGACTTTGATATGTAAAATTTCGACATTTTGGCCAGAAACCTCTTTTTATATTTTCATAAATTGCTCGATAAGTTTATTCAGAACATCTATCTTACTTGGCACCATTGGTTGTGCCTTGAAAAGTACTCTAAGAAAGCTTAAAGAAGCATGAGATGATCAGCATATTTTATATAGTCGAATCTGCTAAAATAATTCAATCGAGTCGAAAATTGTCAAGATTTGGCCAATCTGGAATAAATTATGTGTCTGGGGTTTAACTGTGTTTGGCTGGTGGGGTTGGCTGGCAAACCCAATGCCCTTTCATAAGGCAATACAGTAATAAGTGCCCTTGAAGTGTATAGAAAGTAGGTGGATAGTTGTAGCACTTTTATTGTTCTGTTTTCTTGAATTCTATATTCAATAACGTTAGTCTGGACATTGACGATTCACGGGCTGCATAACATGTCTGCAGTAAATAGGGAAATATCTGAGGCTTTAGTTCGTCGCTCGAAGAAAACGCTGACAGCATTGAGCAAAGGAAATAGGATAGAAATAACAGTGATTTTTATCGATTGATTGTAAAATCATTAATCATATATGAGTTAGGCCTGACAAATGCCTAGAAACTTAGTTTCCATATTAGGGTCGTAAAAGTATCAGGACTGAACATTTATTATAACATGATATCATAAAAACATATAAGCATAAATTTACTCCTTCTGTTTAGACAACCAAAGAAATATCTTCAGGTCGAACAAACACACCTCTGTTGGGAGACGAGGTAAAATAACGATGGCCATCAACAGATCCGTCATTCTTTCCCACTGCAATGAACAAAATGTTACACTTTAATGCGTCTCCAGCATTACAAACCACACGTACCTCTTCTGTCGAGCTCAACACCAATCCAGATACCGTCTGCAAACTCAACATGGCCAATAAACTCGACTGTGCCAACCGTCAATGTGGGTCTTCTTGTCAATTGAACTCGTCTATGCATGCCCACCATGGGTGCACTCACTTGGCCACGCAGTAACTTTCTGTGTTTTATGCTCGAGAAGGATATGGATCTTTCTTTCTTGGTGTCTGTTAGTCGTACTTGTGACCAAGAAGTGGAAGAGGTGGATATACTCGTACGCACGGTTGAAGTAGACAGTGTTCGGTTTGCTAATCGCTGTTGCTGTGGTGATGATCCCGTTGTGGCACTAGCACTGCTACTGTAACGACGACGATGATGGCTTGATCCAATTTTCTTGAGTAACCGAGTCAACTGACTGGCGAATGAAGGCGAAGCCGATGCGGACGAGTTCTCATTGTTTGTCACAGGTAAGCTAACCCGGCGTGTGGCGGTTGTACCAGAGGTCGTTCGCAATGTAGAGCGCGAGGAGTGTCTCGATAGTCCGTTGGTGTGCGTCGATGTGGATAGGTGAAGTGTGGGTATAGACGGCAGCAAGAACGAAAATATACCACGGTGAAAGAGTGGGTGGTTTGAGCTAATGAGTGATTTAGGTCGTACATCCAGGTCTATGTTTGTGAAATGAGAAAAAGGTACAAACTATTTTGCATGCAACACAAACCATCGGCAAGTAATTTCAATATAGCTTTATCCAGTTTATCCAGACCACCCTGTTGTCGGATATCGCTGATGCGCCGAGTTATGTAATGAAGCACCATTACCTTGGCAACGCTGAGAATATGCTTCACTTGATCATTATGCTGAACGGCATGTCTGGACATCAAATCACAAACAATGCCCTGATATAGTATACCGACATTACTACAGTCCATTTGATCCTCGAGTATATGCAATAATAGATACTCTAGAAAGTCAAACGAGTAGGTGATTCCATCGATACATGATAATAAGGCAGGGTATTGGCAGCAATAGAAATCGAAATGGCGAGCAATAATCTTTGTAGCACGAGACTGGACTGATGTCAGGGTTGCATGCAACGGCTTACTCCAGGAAAGCAACGGGTCGTTGGTTGACAAGGTGTTGGATGCTGTAAAGCAGGAATAGAGTGATTCGATTGCGTTTGATTTATTCACACGATGAAGCACCTTTTGCGACAGTGCCTGACTAACATCTTGTGGAAGCTGTATCAAAAGTAGAGCCATGTGACGACTAGTCCAGTAAGTGGAGAGTGTCTTTTCTGGATCACTCGCCAAGATGGTAATGACCTTTTGTGTCATGACAGCCATTTTTTCGTCCTGCAATTCCAGAGATCGAGTCCTGCAAAATGGGAACAGTTCAGGTACGTTGGCGATACAGGAGGTACAGTAGCAGATACAGTGGTGGACCGATTCAATCACTATTTCCGTTAACATGATGCACAATTTCTCCATTCCTAAATAGTCTGCAGCAGAATACATGTTGCATAATTCCTTGATCGTCTTTGGTTTGTTGATTTGATGGGTGTACATGAATCTTAGGATGCTGTATAGCGCCATTCGATCAATGATGCTGGATGGCAAGTAAACAATACTGGCTTTGGATTCAATGAAATTCTCTCCAAACAATGATGCAAAATAAGGTGATTCTTTGTACAGGACATGTGTATGACATGACCACCGCGTCGGCTGCTTTTTTAAAGTTTTTTGATCATTATCACTGTCGCTAGTATGATCAAATCCCTCATCTTCTTCTGTGTCTTCATCTTCTTCCGTGCCATCGTCGCCTTGATCTACCGATTTCGATGAACTCGAGCTATCAAATCGGCGTCTTCTTCTCGCTACTTTTTGATTCATTGGCAACTTTGATTGCGACAGTCTTCTTTTTGTTGGCACCTTTTGTGGTCCTAATGCAACGACAACATTCGATGGTCCATATGAGCTGATGTCGGATTTTACATTTGCTTCCATGATGAACATATGGTAATAGAGATAAAATGGAGAATTATTATAGGAAAGATTTATTGTTGTATGTGTTTGTTAAAATAGGAAAAGAAAGAGAGAAAGAAGGGAAAGGACCAAAGCAAAGACGGGAAGGGGCAGGAGGGGATCCTATTTCAAGTTTTTTTTTTTTTTTCGACTGTTACATTTGCACATCAAATCTGGGAATTCTGCTTAAACAATAAATGATTGTAAGATTAAGCTTTATTTAGTCTATATCACATTAATTATCAATCTATTTCGCTGAATTGATATTTTTTTTTGGAGCACTCGTTCTCAAGTGGTACAACACTTGATTCACATACACACATCTTTTACTGTACTCGCTCTATGTCTGATTTGCCATGGTCGCATGTTTTAACAAAAAGGAGAAAATTTAACAGATGATACTCATCTCATTTAATCTCACGCCTGAAGATCCTTCGTTTAGATATGTGTGTCCTCTTGGTTGTGAAAAGAATTACTATTCAATCCCAAGCCATTTGATGAAATCTGTTTCTTAATGTAAGACTAAAATCACAAGATATCACTACAAGTACTTGTATAATACCTATAAATAATGCAATAATACACTCGGTGCCTGAATCAACCAACACAAAAAATAGTGATTTCATGGCATGATAGATACATAGACAATATACATGCTATCATAATGCTGATTCTTCCTTGCTTCAAATTCATGACTCGCTCCCCCCCCCCCACCTTTTAGACACATAGCATGGCATATGTTATGCTATTATTAGTAAATTTATACATTTTTTGGCGTTATTTAGTATGTCTTTTAATTAATCTCAAGAGCAAAAAAATGATGCCATTCCCAACGTACATGGATTATATTTGTATGTATTAACCTTAATAGAACAATAGTAATAAAAATAGGCAAATAGAGTATGGATGCATTTGTTTGTTATGATTTTTATTGTTTATGCATCTCCCAAATATAATTATGTATATCATCTCAACCAAAAGGGCAATCAAATGCATTTATTTAAGCAACAGCAGCCAGTTTTGAAAAAAGAGGCGATTCCTGCATGTTGTAAATGCTATATACGTAAAATTTCTTCCAGATATTACTAGTTAGTTTGATTCGCTTGAGTGAAGTTTCAAAAATCATCATGAAAACTTACAGACATTGGCATTTCACGGCTATTGAAACCTCTCTAACCTTCAGTGTCATCTTGGCGTCTATGAGATCCGCGAAGTTGTTTTGGGCTAGGCGCCAGTTTTTAATTTCATTCAATGAACCTTCTAAGAATGACTCTGATATTCAAGGCACCATTAGAATCACAATTCTAGTACTGATATGCTTGTTAGTATCACTGAAATAAAGCTAATGCTACTGCACTTACCAAATCATCATCATCGTTCCCTGGACATTTCAGACGCAATTATGAAGGGTAGGTGGAATAGACTGGTGCCAAACAGTTTTTCAATGCAGCTCTCCTTAATGTAAAACCATTGGGTATCTACCAGGACAGGCACAATCTGAGTATTCACTTGTCCTGTGCAAGACATTGACTTTATCATCCAGGCAGATTGTGATGCTTCGAATATTACAACTGCCATCTTCACTAAGAACACCAGTTGGTATACTTGTGTTTCTTCTCCTACAGTCAGGAGAAATATGGTTTAGTATAAAAATATAATGATAAGTTTGCTATGAACATTACTTGTGGCGACATACTCAAGGATCATATGGGTATCAAAGTTTAATTCTTCTGAGGCATTTGCTGCATAATACAGATGTGCGGGTTCACCAGCTAGTATGACGCTAGCTTTGGCTTCAATCGCTCTTTGTCTTTTTTATATTGGTTCAATGATGTATAAGCATTGGTGAAGTAAATCCCTTTCAGTGAATACCTTGACTGGCACAGGAATGTGCATTTTTTTTTGGAGGAGACTGTGGCATATTTATATACAACTATGTGCATCTGTCATCCTTAGGTGCACGCAGCTGTCGCGCTGTCTGCATGGTCTTCTCCTTCTTCTGCTTTAGGCTTTTGGAGAGACGTTGCAGAGTTTATATAGTTCATCAGTGTTTGTGCGTCTGGTCACCACTCGGGTGAGGTAGCCTGGAGCCTAATTTATATTTGAGTAGTTTTAGGCCTTTTTTTCATGGTGCTTATACGAGCACATGAAAAGAAAAGTTTCATTGAGTGCCAATGAGTGACTTTTGTGAATGGCTGCTAATGTTTGACCTACTGTTGATGCTAGTTGTTAAGCGAATGTACTCAGCCAGGTTACAGTTGGAGCAAGTATTTTTGAGACGTCAAAGCATCGTAACTTCGCATCTGTTGATTCTCGAACTGTCTTTTTTCAATCCACTGCATCCCGGATCACTCTTTATACGAACAGCATCATCTTAAGATTTATATACGCAGCAGTGGTGTATACATCCAAAGTCAACTTACTTATAAGATGCATTGCTAACACTGACTCTGTATCGCCTCACATCATGTCTATTTCTCATTTCATCTGAACCGCAATCCACGGCGGTCTCAACATCCCGCACTCCCACATACTACACATTGCAAGTGCGATTCATGAAACTGCGTTATTCACATCAACATTCTTACCTGGATACAATCTAAGCACATAGTCTTTTATGGTGATACCACGAGGCTCTTTAAGGAATTGGAATGGAAAAATTTTGATGTAGTAAGGAACGGTTGAGTGGTGAAACAGGAACTGTTGATAGCCTGTCGAGTCTGTGCAATGTCGGTGGTGGATTGGGAGGCAGGGAATGGAATGAGTCCTAAATGAAAGGCCATGAAGCGGTGGGCAAGAAGTCTGTAGCTGTTGACGCCGTTACGAAGCTTACAAAGGATACCAGGGAAGGAGCATTCCGCCGGTTGATCGAAAGTGGAGGAGCTGATCCGCTGGGTCAAAGAAGAAAAACTCAAACACTTTCAATGTGGACAAATGTTTCGAAAACTTGAATGGGGGATCCGGATGATTGGGGTTGCAATAGAGTATTTCACGAATGGGGGAGAAAGACAGGCGGAAGCGGGTGGTATTTGCGGCCAAATGGAAGCGTGATCGCGAGAAGGGAAGCAGGCATCCATGGCCTGAAATAAAAGCGGCAAGAAGGAGAAAAGAATTTGTGGGTGTCTTGGTTGGCGCCATCCTTGAAAAAGGAGCGGGAAGGTAGCATTAGGAGCCCCATAGGTCACCTGCAAGGAATCCGAAAGCAGTTGGACAAGGAATGGAGGAACGGTGGTGGCCCGCGAGAGGTTGTCGTTGAGCAGTGCCTTGAGGTATCTAAACTGGAAGACCTGTTGTTGAACTGCGGCATTTAATATACCAAGGTCGCCTCGGTGTCGTGGGAGGTAGAAGATGCTGCTACGCATCCTGGGGAACATCTTGCCATACAAAAACTGGTGGACCAGACTCTGGACTTGATGAAAGAATGCCTTAGGTAGAGGTGTGATGCGAAGGATATGCCACAATTTTGTCAAAACTAGTACGTTGGCGATGGTGGCTCGGCCATACATGGATAAGTTCCGTTGACGGTGGGGCTCAAAGGCCGACGCAATCTTTTGGAGCATGCTGCTGGTAAAGGCTTCACGTTGTCGTATGGTAAACCAGATGGGGAAGCCTAAGTATGGGAGATGGCCCGTGGAAGAGGCATCGTACCAACGCATTCGTTGGTTGTGGACAATGAATTCCTGGAGCTGGGCACCCTGAGGAGACGAAAGCGACAGGCCTGAGAGTGGGAATGCAACGGATTTGTTGTAATTGATCAACGAGTTGGAAGCTTTGTTGTAAGTGGCAAGGCAATGCTGTAAAACGTGAAATTCAGCGATGGAGTGGACGTAGAGCAGCACATCATCAGCGTAAGCAAGGAGCTTGACTGGGCGATGAGGTGAGACGTAATGGAGATCATTGGTAAGTGCGGTATCGCCATGTTGAAGTGAATACCCACGGATATTAGGATTAACCAGAATGGACTGCAGGAAAGGTTCAATCGCAAAATTAAATAGCATGGGAGAGATTGAGTCGCCCTGACGCAGCCCTCGCTGTTGAGAGACGGCCGGAGACAGGAAGCCATTCATATTCACAAAGATTTGGTTGTTGAAAAACAAGTTTTGAATACAAGCAACAAAGGCGGGAGGGAACTCAAACTTCTCCAGGACCTTGGCCAAGTACCTGGGATGTATGCGGTCGTACGCCTTGGTCTGATCAAGCATGACACCAACAAACTCCAGACCAGTATCCGTGGTCTTCTGAGCATCTTCCAAGATGAGCTTATTGGTAAGGCCGTGGTCTCCAATAAACCTATCACGCATGAAGCCGGCTTGGTACTCTGTGATCAGTGAAGATGCGAGAGGCACAATGCGGGCATTCAGCAGGCGAGTAAACACTTTACAATCGGTATTAATCAACGAGATTGGCCGCCAGTTGGCTAGGTCAGCCAGGTCACCCTTCTTTGGAATGAGGGCGATGCAAGCTTGTTGCCAGGATAGCGGAAATCGGGCCAATGTGATGGCCTCGTTGTAAACTTTCAGTGCAATAGAGTGGCAGTGAGGATTGGATAGGATCAGGTGCAAGATCTCATAAGGCAAGCCGTCTAAGCCTGGGCTGCTCTTGGAAGGGCACCGTTGGGCACCCTCCAACAGGTCGTCCATGGTGATTGCGGCAATGATGGACTGGGCATCTGCTGAGCCCAGTTGGCGTTGAACAAAACCGAGCATCGTCTCAAGGCAATTCATGTCAATATCTTTCTTCGTGTAGAGATCGGTGTAGAAGGTGTGGATCGCATCCAGTTTAGACTCGGTGTCCTCACACGGGACACCACTCACCGGATGGATGATCATCTGAAAGTTCCTGGACGAATTACGGACAGTGGCGATACAGGCAAGATAGCCAGCCAATTTCTCGTTGTGCTCCAGCCATCGTTTGCTCGCCCGTAGGCGATATGTCTTAGCCCTGGTCTTTTGAATTTTGGCAATTTGTGAATCAAGATCCGGTAGGAGGGATTGGAGGACAACTGAATCATTACGATGATTCCGTAAAAGACGGTTGCGGTCACTTTGAAGATCGCGCAATAGCTTTTGTTGTTTGGCAGCTCGGAAAAGACAGAAGTTTTGGGTAACCTTTTTCACCAATCGCTTGATATGATCCCATTGGTCTTGAACTGGACTGGAATCAAGCAGTTTGTGTTGCACATAGCTGTCAAGTTCCTGATTCAATTTTGTCACATATACAGGATTGGTAGCTAAAGTGGGATTCGCCCGCCAAGTACCTTTCCCGACAGTGAATGAGCCAACGGTGTAGGCGAAGGAGAGCAGGGCATGATCAGTCCATGACCGCGCCATAAATTCCACATGGGTATCGTTGATGTGAGGGTAGATATTCACGCCAGCAAAAACATAGTCAATCGTAGACCGCGAGGTACCTCTAGTGAAGGTGAAATCATAAAAGGATTCTCCAGGGACGTTGAAACAATCATGCAAATTGTGTTGGGCGAAATCGATCAAAGATGTACAAGGATGTTCGACGGTGTAGTGTGAACCACTGCTGTCGAAGGAGTAGTTGAAGTCCCCGGCAACAATCAAGGACGGCAGGATGGCCGCCGAATTAGGTAAGGAATGTATCATAGAGATCATGTTGCTGAAGAACATGGTCTTGCTGCGAGAGCTGTGTTCCGCAGGGGCATATAAATTTAAAACATAAAAGGGTTGAATGGAGTTATCAATGAGTGTAAACTTGGCAAGAATCAAACGGCCATCTAGGGTTTCATGGACTTTTTCCATTAAGAGGGCTGGGTTGAAGTTGATAATTGCACAATACTGTGTCCAAAAGGATTGATGGCACTGAAATTTGTAGTGCATAGTGGTAGTGGTTTGATCAAAGTGATCCATAGGAATGTTGGTTTCTTGGCATAGTAAAATATTGAACATTTTGGACCTCAGGTGTCTGACAAAGTCGTCAGTGTGTGTGGTATAGTGTTGTTTTGGGAAGGTTCTACAATTGATAGAGCCTATCTTCATATTAAAAATCTTATGGTCGTTCATCATTAATTGGAATAAAATTATGATTTAGAGTCGGTCAGGACTCTTAATAGCCCTTCCCGATCTACTTCTGAATCCCGGATTGAGAGATCCATCCTTGTTGAACTGTCTTTGGTGTCCATCAGCGCCATTGGGTGCCTCAGGGGAGCTTTGAAGTTGATCATCAGCGTGAGTTGGATTAGGCTTCTCACCAGCCGAATCTTTTTCGAGGTCCATGTCTGTCGCGGCCTCTGCCTCGCCCATATTATCATCCTCATTTCCCACTGGCTTTGTTGGAGAAAAGCCATCAGTGGCCCAGTCAGCAATTGGTTGTGTACTGTCAACATACGATAACCCCACTTGACCTGCCAGCAAAGGTGCCTGCCCATCCTTGGTAGCCCCCAGGAAGGGAGTGGATTGAGTGAAATAAGATTGAACGTTGGTTTCGTCAAACGCACTGTCGATAGTAGGAGTGACGTTGAAAGAGGAACGCTCCTGCTGTTTAGCCATGTCTGCCCAAATCTGACTAGTGAAAGAGGAACGCTCCTGCTGTTTAGCCATGTCTGCCCAACTCTGACTAGTGAAAGAGGAATTTTGTGGATTATGGCGAGAGTCCGTACCAGTTCCGTCAGTAGAACTGGCAGGATCCCTTACGTTGTGATCTTTAGTAGAGGAAGCCATGGCGTTTGACTAGTATGTCATAATGCAACTATATTATCTGACTGTAGTTGAATTGTATTCAATGACATACAGGTAAAAAATCGTAAGAAAGTCAAGTTCACACTCACGATATTATCTTGTGTCGCTCAAAGTTGCTCAACCTCATTCTAATTAGGTAAAATACTATACTAAATATGGTAAAACACATACCAAAAAAGGAAAAGGAGTGTGTGTAGGGCAAAAAATTATGTACCTATTATATATTAAATTTTTTGGTCTATTTTAACATGGTAAGGGGATGTAGCTTAGTTTAACGTTGATTTTTATTATATACATGAATTCAATGGGCACTCGATGGGAGCATTAGCCTAGAATTCTAGAAACAAAAAAGTAGCAGGTACAAAAAACCCTTATGGGGACACTAACGAAGAAAAAGGGAAAAAGGAAAGTGTGGTAGTGGCAGAGGAACGGCATGAATACTGGTATTGTTGATTTGATCTGGAGGAATGACCAACGGATGGGAACTTTGATAATTACTTACCACCGTGGCATCGCACCGAGAAAGCAAAAACAACAAACGTTCATCAATGAGCAGAAAACCAGAGCGATCCAGGATCTGGATCTGGTGGGATCACAGCCAGAGGATGCACAAGGCAATCAATGGCATGCAACAAAAGGAGCAAAGCAGACCAAAAGTACGGTGGACCAGCTGAAGCCTTGTCTGGAAGACAGTTCAAAGCATGATCAATGCGATGGATACCAGGAGGAGCAGGTGGCAAGGCATCAAACAAGGTATGATCCAGAGCGCGACATGTCAGAAAGTGATCTCGGGAGATAAACTCACCGGTAGTGCACGGACATTCTTCACGCATGTTGGTGAAACGTCCAAGACGCCACCGCACAAGACGACTACGAGCAGATCGACCAATAGGCAGATACAGAATGGGATCTGGACGAGAGACAGATGGACGACAAGCACGAAGGAGGGTCTGGGTACCAGAAACAGCAGCAGCAGCAAGTTGACGATCTACTTGATCTTGCCAATACGAATCAAAGACTTCAGTAAGACCAGCAGTGGTGAATGGCGGCGGATCAGGTAGTGTCAGATACAACGGGTTTTGACAGATAAATCTGTCTAGACGAGTGTACAGTAAACCACGACGAAGCAGAACCAGGGGATGTAGCTCAGTTTAAAGATTGTTTTTATTTATAAGAAATTTAATGGGCACTCGATGTGAGCATAGCCTAACTTCAAGAACAAATATAGAGCAAGTAACTAAAAAAACCCCTCCAGAGCACTTTCAAAGGAGAAAAAAATGCAGTGACAAGAGTACAGGACATGGAGACTAGTGGTGCTCACATTGAGGATCTCGAGGGACAACCAACGGATGGGAACTTTGATAATGACTTACCACCGAGGAGCCGCACGTAGAAAACAACAATGGAACATGTTCATCCCTGTCAGATCAACCAGTACTGGAGTACCAAAGAGACGCTGGATCTGGATCCGGAGCAATGACAGCCAGAGGATGCACAAGGCAATCGATAGCATACAGCAGGTTCAGTAGAGCAGGCCAGAAATCAGGAGGACCGGCAGAGGCATTAGTGGGCAAGCAATTAAGAGCATGGTCAATACGGTGCACACCAGGTGGAGCAGGCGGCAAGGCATCGATCAAGGCAGGATCAAGAGCACGACAGTACATAAAGTGATCACGAGAGATGTAGACACCTGCAGGTGACATACAGGGACACTCCTCACGCATGTTAGTAAAGCGGCCAAGACGCCAGCGGACCAAACGACTACGGGCAATACGACCAAGAGGCAGAAAGAGTATGGGATCAGGCCTTGTGGTGTCAGGACGACAAGCACGAAGCAAAGTATGACGACCAGTGACAGTAGCAGCAGAGAGTTGGAGATCAACCTGATCTTGCCAATAGGCAGCAAAGGTAGTACGCAAGCCAGCAGAAGAAGGAACAGGGTCAGGCAGCGACTGATACAGAGGGTTTTCACATATAAAACGGTCCAACCTTGTATAGTGCAAATGGGCACGAAGCAGAACCAGCAGACAATCGTCAGGCAGAGTATCAGCACGCAGAGCAAAACGGGTAGCCAGGACATTGTAGCGATGTTTGATACTGGGAAGACAGGTAATGTGCTTGGCGACATTAACCCAAGTACTACCCACAAACATGCCAACAAGTCGGTTTTGCAAAGTATCCATAGCAGTAAAATCACGAGCAGAGAGATGGGAGATGGCCAGACCATATTCAAGCTTAGGACGAATAAATGTCCTGTACAGGCGAGAGGAGAGCAGCAAAGAGAAACCATTGCGGTTGACACCAACAGAGTTTAACAGAGCCATGGTCTTGACAGCACCAGCAGAACGCAGAGACAGAATACCAGGAGCATGCAGGCCTTTGTATCGGAATGGCATACCAAGGTATGTAAATTCGTCAACGACAGGCAGAGCTTCATTGTAAAGTACCAGAGGAGAACCAGCAAGAGCAGCAGCAGTACCAAGCACAGCACATTTGGAAGGCTTCCACCTATATCCAAGAGAGACAGAATGACCAGCAGCAAGATCCAACATACGCTGAACCTCAGACTTTGAACCAAAGACAGCCACATCATCAGCGAACAGGAGACTATTGATAGCAATAGGAGCATCAGCACCAGGCACAGGCAGCATAGTAGCACCAGTAGCACCAGAACGCAAAAGACTCGGTAAAGAATTGATATACAACGAGTACAAGTGAGGACTGAGAACTGAGCCTTGCAGAACACCAGTGACAGGAGAGAAAGCAGTCGAGTTGTGATTAGCTATCAAGACAGAGACAGACACATCATCAAACATGTTGATCAACAGACCCAGAACAGCACGAGGAAGACTAGAACCAGCCAAAGCAGACCAGATAACACGACGATCGACTGTGTCATATGCTGACTTGATATCCAAGAAAGCGACAACAGGACGACGACGGTGCGCAACAAAGTAATCATGCATCAAGTCATGCAAGCAGAGGGCTTGATCCAGAGGACTACGTTGAGGGCGGAAACCACCTTGGGCAATGTCAAGGGCAGGAGAATGGGCATCCAGCTCAGGCATGAGAGAGAACTCAAACAGTTTGCGCACAACAGAAGTCAGAGAAATAGGCCTATAGTTGGCGGGATCAGAAGCATCACCTTTCTTAAAAATGGGGAAGACTTGGGCTTGGCGCCAGAGAGCAGGAGTATACGACCATTGGTAACACAGAGTGAACAACAGAGACAACACCGGAGCAATCTCAGAGACCAAGGACTTGAGCATCTCAGCTTTAATATGATCTGGACCAGGAGCTTTATGCGTTGGGAGCCGCTGAATGTGAGATACAAGAGTATCAACATCGAACAGTGACAAATCCACAGGCACACAAAAAGGCAGGACAGAGTCAAAAGTGGGGGGAGCAGCAGGACGAGTAGCAGTGGCAAGCAGAGAGCCATCATACACCGAAGCGAGATGAGAACCCATAGCAGTGACAGAAGCAGCAGGACCGTCGGGATGACTGTAGGTAGCAGAAGACTCTTTGTTACGCTTGATGCGCTTGATAGCAGCAGTAGCTTTTGAGAAATCCTTTTCTAGAATACCACAGAACTGTTTCCAGGACCTTCGCTTTGCAGCTTGCACCAGGGAGCGAAACTTGCGATGCGCAATTTTGTATAAGGATCATTTTTCAACTTTGACAATACCAAAGGCATGCCTCCATTGACTATAAGAGTGATCACGTGCAGTAGCAGCATCCTGAATTTCTTGCGTCCAGTACTCCTTCCAATGGCCAGGACGACCAGATTTCACACCAATAGAACTATCCAGAGATTCATACAAACATTGATTCAGAGAATCGTTGAGTGCATCAATATCTGGACGAACACCAGGAGGAGCAGACACCAAACCAGAAAGAGTACCAACCAGAGGAGCAACAGAAGATCGAAAGGATTCACGGAGTAAGCCCAAAGGCTTCTCTTTCGTCAATTTCGAGAGCTTCCATTGCCGCCGAGGAGCCAGAACAGAATCACCAGGAGCCACAGTGTCATCGAGAGGTGGCACATACCCGAAAGTAAGTGACATCAATCGATGGTCAGAACCAAGAGACAGATCAGACTCAACCACTAGTTGAGGATTCACCAAAGCAACATCACCAATATTTGTCAAAAACAAATCAATGATACTACTCAATTCTTGTTGCTGCCGAAAAGAAGAGTACGTCGTAACACCAAAAGCCAAAGACGCATTGAGTACAGACAAGCAGTGTTCATCAAACCAAGGTTTGAGAGCATTACCACGAGCATTAGAGATAGCATCACCAGTGAGAGAACCCAACCGAGCATAGAAATCGCCACATAGAATAGTATCCCTAGTCATAGGTAATGAACTAAGGGCCGAGAGCACCTTATCAGATGATAAGGGTGGAGGTAAGTATACACAATGAACCGTAAGGGAGCCAACCTTAAGGGACAAAGTATGCGGATTATAGGATGGGAGTTGATAGACAGAGTAAGGACAGGAAGGAGAGACAAAAGCAGTAATACCACTAGAACCACGGTTGAAGGCACCAGGTACTTTCGAACCGTAAAGATGGTATTGGGACCAATCTGTAGGAAAAGAGCCAGAAGTTAGCCAGGTTTCAGTAACCAGCAAGACATGAGTATCCAGGACATGAGAGAGAACATCGTGAATCACTGATTGACGAAGACCATTGGCATTCCAAAGAGAGAGAGAGACAAATAAGGAGTGGACAGGGTTATCTTTTTGGGTATACAGTATCAAGGACTCAGTGGTGGAACACATTATTGTTCCATAGCAGAATCTTCATTGGCAGAGTCAGCATTAATCTTGCGACGGAACAAGAAGTTAGCCCTCTTGGGTTCCTTCTTTGCAAAGCGTTGAATGGCATCACCAACAGAAACAGAAAGGTCTTCGTCACAAATCCAGCCTTGCTCAACAAAGTACTTACCAACACCACTGACATTCAGGGGACGTAGGAAAGCTAAGGTTTGCAGACACCGAGCAGCAGTAAATTCCATGATCAAAGCAGTACGTTGATCCAGAGTCAAAGAGTCATACTTAGGATCAGCTATGTTAGCAGGGTCCAAAGGGTCAAAGTCGAAGAAGAATTCAGCCTCACAAGCCTCCAAAAGTGCAGTAAAATCCTGAACATATTGCACATGCACCAGGATGCCAATAACATCGGATGCTGGGAAACAGATGTCAAGCACACGACCCAAATCAACGCCGGCTTTGCGCAAGAGAGAGCGAACTTCAGAGCGTGCAATCTTCTTAGATCTACCAATATAAACATATTGGTAACCTTGGGGACCTTTACGAGCAGCAGTTGTAAAGGCGCGACCAATAGCAAGACGCTTCTTAGCTTGCTTAGCTTCAGTAGCAGGATCAGGAAGAATAGCAGCAGCCTTTGCGACATTTGCATAACTAGGTGATTTAGTAGCCTTAGTATTCATAGTGCCTGTAGTAGTATTGAGGGTTGACCCTTCTACCGCCGTGGGCCGACTCGAACCAGAGGGGACCACGTGACCGGAGGCTGCACCCTGTAATTTTTGAATTGCAAGGTCCTTGTCCTGTAAAAGTTTTTTCAACTCTGAATTCTCTTTTTCCAGAGTATCTAAACGAGCAAGAAGACCATCATGTTCGTTGACGCGAGCAGTAACCGAGGTAAGTTGTTCTTGGAGCTGATTAAGAATCATTTGAAGCTGATTCATATCCATACCCTGTAGATTGGTGGCCATGACTGAGAATATTTTTTTATAAATTTGAAAATTTTTAAAAAAATATCACGGAGGTGTTCGACAAATTTGAAACTATAACACAATAAACTGTTACCAAAGGCAAGCAAAGTTGTGTAATTTCGAGTTGTTGGAGTTGGTAGTTATCGAGGAAATACGTTTTTTCTTGTCTGGAACAACTTTTTTCCGAAAACGGTGGCAAAAAGTGTTGAAAAACGGAAAGAGATGGGGATGTAGCTCAGTTTATTGGATTTTATTTATTTACAATTGTAGTCAACTGTGGAATCGGTATGATCATAACGTTGCAAGACTAACAGTGATTCGGCGGGAAAAAGCATGTTTTTAAATTAAAGGTTGAGGGGAGCTGTTACAGGGAGGGGACCAGTAATGAAAACGGCATCAAAACCCACCAGAGAAGAGGAGAAACAGAAGGAAGAATGGCAATGGCCGCGCCGCAAGACGG